AGGATTGTTAGACTTTTGTTTGTGTGTATTTGCATGTAGCCTGTCCAAGAAGAGGTGGCCAGTTATATCTCACCGACTTCACAGCTCTAATTTCAGAACACATGTTTGTACATACTTGTGTATGTGTACATGTAAATATGCAATTCTATAGAGAAGTATTTGCAGTGTATCTGACTTGATAACAGTATTTGTGGGACAAGTTACCTGAGTGCATTAGCTGGTGCTTCGGTCTATATTAGGAAGGATTATGCCTGGTTGGTCATGTACCTGCACAGGATGAATGGCATGCCCGTGTCAACAGTGGTAAACTCTCCCTGTACTCTCCCAGACCGGTTCACGTATATCATGGTGGTATAACTATTTGGTGTCGGTTATGTGATTTCATGCGCCTCTGTTCAGCAGTTAATGGGTACCCAGTGGTATTATTTTACCCTCAGCACTGTAAACAGACAGAATGATTTCTGAAATGGTCTTGAACTTGTCATCAAAATAGTAATGACCTGTGAACACCCGGGGTATAAAAGGTCTTCAGCAACCCATGCTTGTCGTAAAAGGTGACTATGCTTGTTGTAAGAGGTGACTAACAGGATTGGACGGTCAGGATCGCTGACTTGTTTGATTCATGATTGTGTTGTATATCAATGCTCATGATGTCAATCACTGGATTGTCTGGTCCAGACTCGATTATTTAAAGATGGCCGTCAAATAGCTGGAATATTGCTGAGCATGCTGGGTGCAGTGTAAAACAACAAACCAACCAACAACCAAATCTGAAGTGAATGAAACTATGATATCGGAGTGATGTGTGGATCCTATTATAGGTAGTCTCCCTAGTTCACCTCATTTGCCTGTTTATCTGATTGTGATGCTAAGTTTATCATGTTTATCACGATGTGTTTATATCACTGATAACACTATCCATTATAGGATAACTAAGTTCCTTGTGACTTTCATCAAAGTACCTGTAGTTGATATCTAAACATGTAAATGACAATACTGTGGTAAATTAGAATTTCAGGCAGGAAACAAAGTTTTCATAAAAGATAGGAACTGTTGGATGGAATTATAGTCTTAGATACATATTAAGTTGTTAGTTCTCACTTAACTGGTTTTCCAAAGGGCTGTCTAAAGTGCTGCGTGGCATTGTACAAACAACCTTAGCGTTACGCCTGTCATAATTCTATGTTGAGGTATAGGAGTTACGATCACCTTAGCGCTAAGATCACTTTGTACAACAGCACCCTGTCCTTAGCCTGCACCATGACTGTGGAATATTTGTATTTTATGAGAAAAAAGACCAATCTGGATAGTCCAGCCAGCTCTATTCCACAATTTGTTTTAATTTTATGTTAATGTGGGAGGAAAGCCCCAAGTGATGCAGGTCTCAGACATTTACCACTTCGGTGAAACCCACGAGCATGGGTATTGTGCTGACAAACCTAGAAACATAATGGGGGCAAACCGGGATTCGAAGACCCACTTTAGACGACTGGGCCACCCATGCCCCCTTAATTTTAGGGGAGAGAAATGTATTGTGTAATAAAAGATTTCCTAGACACTTTGTTAGTCTACTGGGGCTGGGACGAGTCCCCGACCCCCTATTACCCGCCCCTACCTGGGTACCCACCCCCCATTACCCGACCCTACCCGGGTACCAACTGCAAGTCTCATGAGTTGGGAACAAAATGTCTGATTAGTAATTATTTTACCACAGCCCTGGCTAAAGCTATTTAGATACATGTATCAAACGATCAGATCATCAGTTCACTGAAGTTGACTGAAGCTTTATCTTTACTCAAACATATACAAGTCAAAAGGAATGTGTGCATCGTCAGAAAGAAATGCGAGCATTAGCAACTTGTAGTGTAACCACTGAGCTAAAGTGAGTTTTTGTCATTAAACAATACAGTAAACTACGGTTATAACGAACTCAACGGGATCACTAAATTTAGTTAGTTATAACCGTAGTTCGTTATAAGCATATATACAGCATAACTACAGCAAACAGTTGTGACAAAAAAGTAAGTTTGTTATATCCTCCAGTTTGTTATAAGCGTGTTCATTATAAACGTAGTTTACTGTTTATCACATGACTAACCACCGGTCTGGGTAGTCCTGTGGGTACCCGGGTCCTACTCAGGACCCACCCGACCGGACCCCCCGAGTTACCCGTCCCAGCCCTATACTCTCCTGCTGGCCATGCAACATGAGTAGACTGTGTGGGAGGAATAATTCAAGTGATACTTGACCATGTTGACTCTTATCTCATCATCACGAGATGAGATAACGAGGTCATGAAACAGTTAAAGTCATGTGATAAACACCTGTATCAGTTTGAGTGTGCCAGATGCATCTCTAGATTGTAAATATGTATTTTATTTAGGGTGTTGAAGATAAAACACATCAAAGTATTTCATAGATTCAACTGCCCACATTCTGAACCTGTTAAAAGATTAGATAATATATCTTCTTTGTGTAACGGCAGCAGATATGTGGGTTAGTCGGTAGGAGGTGAGCTTGTGTAGAGATATTCACTGCTCAAGGAGTGTTGTTTCATGGTCAGGCACAGATAACTGCTGTAATAGTGAAACGCATACCATTCATACACAAGGCCAAATGTTTTTTGTTTATGAGAATAACAGACCTACCAGCTCAAGAATTGTAAAAAACAGGAATATATTGAAATTGTAAAATATTTTTGTCCTCAGACTGTGAATTTGAAGAAAAACGTGATGTCATTATTAAATTTTGAAAATGTTTGCTAAAAAAAATTTCTCTTTATTTTTAAAGCGAAATAACACAATCACACAATGTAACCTTCCCTTTTGTTTCAAGCAGCTTATATCATTATAGCAGTTACCTCTCTGTCATATTGCTATCTGTTGAAAGTGACATCCAGTTCCGTTGACATCGCAAAGTTCTGGTCAAACGTCTATGGTTTGACAGAAGTAAGTTCTGTTGTGCAGTTAATGGTACTAAGGCACTTGGATTCCAAATACAGTAATACCTGTGAAGATCCGGGGTAGAGTAGGTCTTCAACAAACCATGCTTGCCACAAAAGGCAACTATGCTTGTCGTAAGAGGCGACTAATGGGATCGGGTGGTCAGGCTTGCTGACTTGGTTGAGTCACTGGATTGTCTGGTCCAGACTCAATTATTTACAGACCGCCGTCATATAGCGAGAATATTGCTGAGTGCGGCGTAAAACAACCAACCAACCAACCAACCAACCAACCAACCAACCTACCAAATACAGTAAACTACATTTAACACGCACATGCTCATAATGAACTGACTGATATAATGAACATATGTTTCAGTCCCGGCCATTTGTTGTATATACGTTGTATATATGCTTATAACGAATTATGGTTATTACGAACTAAAATTAGTGGTCCCTTTGAGTTCGTTATAACCGTAGTTTACTGTTTGCTTTTCCTTCCTAACTAAACTGTGGAACACATAGTATGTGGTTTAAAAGCAATATATGAAAGGACCTTGTTCTCCCTCTTCCACCTTATACTATTAGATTTTATCTAATATCTAAAGATTCTAAAGATATTAGATAAGACCTCTCAGATCTTTTAATCTATGCAATTAAGGACACGCCATTTTATAATATTCATGTTCTCCATGGAATAATAATATTATTACACATGTATGTAGTTTTACTTGGATTCTCTATATGCCAATTTAAATTACGCAAACTAAAGGGGCTCTCACACTTTGCCGATTTGCCTCCCGAGTATGGACCCGAGCTGACTTGCGGGTACTCATATGGAGCTCGTAGCGAGGTCGTACTAAACTCGGGGTAACTCTGGATTCCTTGTACTGATCTATGAGAGTTTTGGAACTGCTCAATATGGTCGGGCCGCCAGCCAACTTCTAAGAAACTCGTAACAAACTCGTAACACACTCGTCCTATTCGTAGTACCCTCGTGGTGCTCGTACAGAACTTGTATGAAGATCGTCTGCAAAATTTATTGCCGAGTTGACTGAGTCTAATACGAGCTATATGAGTGTAATTCCCTCCGAATTATTCAGCAGCTCGTAGCCACCTTGTACCAAAGTCGTACCATACTCGTACAGCTTGTATGCAACTCTTAATAGACTCCTAATGGACTTCTATTGGACTCCTATGGGGCTTGTAACACACTTGTAGCGTACTCGTATGATACCGTATAGATGTAGTCTCTTCCCGAGTCCTAACCGAGTTAGGCTCGGGAGAGCTCGGCAACCGCCTTGGCAAAGTGTGAGAGCTACTTTAGTCACAAAATGTACTGTGGAGAATCCCCGACATGAAACGGTTGACAGGGTTTGTATTGTCTTCTCCTTCAGAGTACATTGGGGGGTCCAGATATTACAAATTCCAGCGTGCATGCTGGATTGTCTATCATGTTTGTATCCAAACAGACTCTTCATCTTCATGATACAGTTTGTAAGACACATGACACATACTCGTACCATAGGAAAACAATATGTATGTCAGGTTAACAATAGTTACCAGGGCCTGTAGCACAAAGCTACTTTAGCACTACAATGATCGTAGCACCCATACTTTAACTAGACTTACGATAGGTGCTCTTAGTGCTAAGATGAAAATAACCTCCATCGTTTAACATAGACTTACGATGATCATACTGCTAAGATTGCTTTGTGCATGTTGGCCCAGGGCCACAAGGTGATCTTAGTGCTAAGATGACTAACTTCCGTACGGTAACATAGACTTACGATAGACACACTGCTAAGAATGCATTGTCCATGTTGGCCCAGGGCCACAAGCTGATCTTAGTGCTAAGATGACTAACTTCCGTACAGTAACATAGACTTACGATAGACATACTGCTAAGAATGCATTGTCCATGTTGGCCCAGGGCCACAAGGTGATCTTAGTGCTAAGATGACCGTAAATTATGAACCCGTGTGCAATTTTAAACATTCGGATTAACAACCCATCTTACATGTTTGATATTGATATAGCTTTTGTGTTATATTTGCAGAGCCTCTGAAGACAATTGATGTCGATGGTGACTTGAGTGCTGGAATTGGACAGTACATATCGGTGAACATAACGTGTAACGGAAGGTAACTTGTCTCTACGCTATGTTTGAAATACCAAAGGACCAGCTTTACAAATATAATGAATTGTTATCATATGTAAATATATATTACAAATTATGGGAAAAGGTTGCAAATATGTTTTAGCACCTGCTTGGACATGATGAATAGATTGAAGTAATTCGTGTGTGATTTCTTTCACACAGAAGAATGAAGAGTTTGTAAAATGTGTATTGTATATGTATATATGTATCTGCTGCTTACCTTATGCCAAATAAGACAGCGCTTCGCTATAGTCCTGGGTGAGAAAAAAGTGTTTTCCATCTCAAGTCTACTTTTTGAAGGACCCATCGCTGCTGTCATGTGACAAATCGTAATGTCACAACCAATTCACATTCCAGCTCGTTGTCCTACAGCGAAGTTGTGCTTCGTTTTGCTCCTCGAACTTTGACTTAATTTGGTGGTTAGCTTTCTGCTACCACACTAAATTTTGTCTGTGACGGGGTTGATGTATTTCTTTTCATATTATGTTCACTTTAATGTGTATTAATGTGCAGGTGGTTTCCATGTGGGAAGACTTTGTCTATTTCCTGTCACAGGGCTCCTTGTTTCCGCCATTTTCAATTTGCGTTACATTGTTTGCTGCCGAGGGAGGTAGCCATTATTGTTGCAATTCTTGGTTAGGTATTAATATTTCATGTATATTTAAATACCTTTAGCCGTTGGCATGCTTGTATTTTGATACACTTTCAAAACTTGTAAATGTTTTGCCGATATTCATTTACCTCCATGTACTACGGCATCGGACTCGATTGTGAGTATTGCACCTATCCCAAATTTTCAGACATCCATAGTTGCTCTACCTATGTATGCGCAGCCTATGGTTGCGTACCTGGAGAATCCTTGGATGCAGAACTTCATGCAATCCATGTGGCAGCAGTCCATGGCACAAATCTACCAGGGGCCTCCGCCAGTGTTCCAGACTCAGCAACAACTCTTTATACGCCTCGGACAACCCAAGCACGAGCGTTTACGCCTATGCCTAGGCTACTTCGCCATGCACCAGATGCCAGCTACGCTAGATGTGCGCTGCATAGTACGCCATCGGCTAGTGCCAACACCACTGCTCATACGTGGGTTTCGTTACCCTCACCAGGAGCTTCATCTGAGCACTCTTCTAGAGGAAGAGCTACACACTGCAGTAGAACACACCTATGAGGGGGGCGCTTCACCACCATTCCGATTCATCGGAGGTATCAGACGGTGAGGAATGGGATTCATCCACAGAATGGAATTTTCACCTCAGCCTCGCACTGATTCCTGAGTGGATGGCACATAAACAACTTCGACTTGGAAGTGTTCAGTGTTAGCCTGCCCGGAGAATGGCAAAATGACAAAGGTCCCAGAACTATAGGCTCTACTACGCTCTTTCAGGCGTGAGGATCAGAAGGCCAAACTTCGTCCCCATGCGTCGGATTTGAATGTAGTACTTTGAGGATTGCATGGGCACCCCCTTCCAGCCCCTCAATGCATCTTCCTTTCTTGACCTCACCAAGAAAACTATATTTCTCTTGGCTTTAGCCACTGGATGCGGGTGAGCGTGTTACATGCACTTGACATCACCCGTGTCTGTTTTGAGCATGGTACGCAGGGAGCCGTACACCCCGGGTTGTGCTGCGATTGCATAGCAAAAAATCAACTACCTGTCTCCCTTATTGAACTCTTCCTGCCGTCCCGCGCAGTGCTGAGTCTTTTCAGCTTTGGCTTGGTAACACAGTACATGAAGATAATAGCTTACGCTAATATTCCTTTTTTTTTACTGTTTTGGTTACTTGGACTTATCCTCAATTCTCATGTTCTTTCTGTAAATAAGATTGAACCAGCCCTACTGTCCAATGAACCGTTTTCCTTGACAACTTGTCGTTTGAAGGGTTTATAATTATAGAGGCTTTTGGACATCTGAAGGTATATCGGTACCAACCACCATACTGTCTGATACAGATGCATTAAGCATGTTAAGGAGTAATGCAGGATAAGTAAACAATTTTGTAAAATCTAAATATTTTCTTACATTTGTATACTTATCCTGCATTACTACATCTAAGGGCCCACCATCGCAGACTTGCCTCTCCACTATAGCTTTGTAATAGTCTTTGTTAGCTTGGGTAACGAGCAGGAATATGAATTGATTGTGACGTCACGATTTATCACATGACAGCGGCGATGGGTCCCGCAAAAACTACACTTGAGATGGAAACAACACACAGTTGGGACAAACTAATGATAACCAATGATCGATCATAAAATTGCAACCGATTCCCAGCAAACTTTATAGTGTTGTTTCTTTCCTAGATTTAAATGTTAAACTGTTCTCCCCCAGCTACCCTACCTCGGTGTGCTGGAATGTGACGGCCCTCAACACCAGTGAGCCGTCTTCACCCACGTGTCCACCAGCAGAGTTCCTGAGTACCTGCAACCACCAGGTCAGCATCAAACTGACTAACCTGGGATGGAGCACTGTCCAGTTCACCGTCTACAACGATGTCAGCTACATGTCATCCTCCTTCAACGTCTATGCATTCAATCAAGGTAGGTCAAAGTTGGTCACATCACAGAGCATGTGTGCTTCCAAGAAGACTATGCATTCAATCCAGGTAGGTCAAAGTTGGTCACATCACAGAGCATGTGTGCTTCAAGAAGACTATGCATTCGATCCAGTCAGGTCAAAGTTTGTCACATCACAGAGCATGTGTGCTTCCAAGAAGACTATGCATTCAATCCAGGTAGGTCAAAGTTGGTCATATCACAGAGCATGTGTGCTTCAAGAAGACTTTGTGGATCCTTTAATTATGTAGTGTAACTATCATTGCTCTGTGGCTTTGAAAAAATAATCATCTTAAATTTGAAAGAAAAGGTCTGAAATTCGCTTAAGTTTCAGTGCACGGCGACACGAGTGCCACAATATGAGTATCATACAAGGCAGTACCTGTATATATTCAGGGATGTATCTAGGCAAGTCTGCAGCAAATATTGGTAAGAATCCCCATACTGGAATAAAAGATTCATGTTGATGTGTTTCAACATTATCTTTGCAAATGTGACCTCGTTTGATAGTGCTGAATGCAATGTTAGATACCTCTAAATAAGAATGTTAGAAGAACCTTACAAGAATTCACAAGAATTTTCTACAAGAATGAATGATCTCTTCCAAGGGCCTCAAAGACCATGTTGTATCATTACTGACTTATCATCATTTATTTTAAATACACAAGTTGTTATGTATCACTTGTTAAGAATGATTTAGTCACCCTGCAGACATATGCAACTCTTTTGTTGTCATTTTGGGATCTAAATTTCCCGTCTTTTCTTCCAGATTCTGTGAATGTGCCTGCCCTCACCATACCGATTGTATTCTGCACAATTGGAATTGTCATCGTCATAGTTGGCACAATATATCTCAACAAGTTACGAAAAAAGCCAACCATTGAAGTAGCCGATTTTGATTTCCATCCATCAATGTCTACAGAAGGGGCCGGAAACTATCTGTCTCGACTTGCCAACAAGATGAAGCTGATATGGTTCAGGAACAAATATTCCAAGAAACACACCAATCCAGATTTCCAGGAAACAACAGCTAAACAGTATGGTGCCACAGACGATTATGAGAGCTTATAGAGTATTTATGCTATGTCAGGATATGCAGCGTCACACAAAGAGTTCCTGCAAAATTGTAAACAAGGGACTCTTGTATCATCAGCGTACCAGTGATTCTTCCGTAGTGGAAGGAAACTATGGTACTGATCTGAAAGAGCAGTTTCAATATTTGCAAGATCAATAAAGCAAACATAAAGACATGAAACATTTTGTGGATGACAATTTCTTTATTGTTTGTCACAACATTTCAGGGCTACTTCTTGCTGATTATGAGCTGAAATGAAGTCTTCATGATGGACCCACTCCTAAATGATAATCAAAGATTTGATGAAACGACATTTTAGAATTGGTGCTGTAGGTGATCTTCAACAATCCTTGGTTGTATTGCAGGACCAGGCAAGAAGCCTGCTGTGCTGCTCTGAAAGTGCACTCCAATGTTACAGATGAATGTAACAAAAACATTGTTGCCTTGTGTCATCACTGTTGCTGTTCTAGGAACCACGTCCTTATGTAAATATGGAACATACTCATTGCAGTTAACTTTATTATCTCATTTGTATATACTTTTGGCATTGACAAAGGGTGATTTGGTGGATGATATCCAGTTGCTCTTCCAGTTGCTGCAAGTGCTTGACTGTCTGTGATATGACATTGCAATCTACCTGTCGGCCAGGGTCAGACGATGCGTGGAAATATTTTTCTGTCTTTGATGTGACATTGCAATCTACCTGTCGGCCAGGGTCAGACGATGCGTGGAAGATATTTTTCTGTCTTTGATGTGACATTGCAATCTACCTGTCGGCCAGGTTCAGACGATGCGTGGAAGATATTTTTCTGTCTTTGATGTGACATTGCAATCTACCTATCGGCCAGGGTCAGACGATGGGTGGAAGATATGTTTTCATGGTCGTCGATTTCTGTGATGCCAAAATAAGACAAATGTTATAAATGTTGTAACCATGGTAACACTAGGATGATTGTTGATTGTGTATTCCATTTCCCCATGCTCCAAATAACCCGGTTTTAGCAGGGCCTCAGTTTCTCTCTTGCCCACCCACCTATAGAATGTATTCAACGATCTATGCTAGACTCTGTTACACACTAACATACTTTTTAACAAACAAAAAAATCAGAGATTCTCTGATGTGATTTTAATTGTCCAAACTATTGTCATCAATTAACCTGATTTGATAAATCATCAACCTTGCAACCTCTTTATATGCTACTAACTTTGCTATGACAGTGATTCGTAGTTGTATGGATGTCATGGTGCATGAAGAAATTGTTAGACAACTCTTGGTACAAAAGTTAGATAATTCCTACTTATTTTGAAACTGAAACAATTTCTCATGTTAGATTTCACATTTTTATTTGTGTTGTTTGTTATCATTTGTCAATATCATTTTACAAGTATACTTTGTTGAATATCTTTTTAGCTTTATGATGTTAATGTTCAAATTGGATGGGGCACTGATGTTTTCATACCAAGGTCCATTGAACAATGTACCCCCTGTAGCAGAATATGGTGTTTGTTGAATGGATATTGTGATCTTCATAAAAGAGCACACCTGTTAATACCAACAGAAAGGCAGCGGTTATATTCAGTATATAAATCTATTTAGGTCAGCAAGAGAGAGCTCTATTCAATTCAGTATTCATAAATTCAGTTACTCAATATACTATTTCCATTTTTATGTTTTGGCATGGACCAACCATAGTTTCCTGGAAACACTGTGGACATAAAAGAAGAAAAATCTTTATTCATAAGCTCAATTACTAAAACATATCAGATTGTTTTTTGTAGTGCACCCATTTTCAATAATATATCATACCTTTTTTGTGGACTTCTTGTATGTGAAAACTTTTGTCGTTGAAGGATAGGTCAAGAAATGTTTGCTGTTGGTTTGATAAGACCTAACAAAGCAGGTTGGTATTTGTGTTTTATCGTCTCAAAAGTTTTGTTATGTTAGCTCTTAATGCATAATGGTTTGTGCCTACCACACATGTGACATACCACATTTTAAAATGTGGTCACATATCTGATGTAAATAGACCAATGTTAATTTATGTTTTTTATTTGTCTCATTTTTAAATATCCAGGGTACACTTTATGTGTGTGCAGTACCATGCACAGCAGTGTGGCCCACAACCCCTAATGTTGATACTCAGGACCAATTGTGTTTTACATGTGTCACTAGCTGGGTGAACACGATTTTACTATCTATCACATGAAACACTATTAAATGATGATTTCTGTACATTCTCGCTGGTCATCATGTACATTTTCTTTTCACATGATGACTAGTTAATCAGACGGCTAGATTCTATTATGAGTAATAATGAAACCCTTTTTATGGATCAGCCAACCCTATTTTCATCCATAAATAAAAAAAAAAATATCACACTTATATGTTTCTGCCCTCAAGCACACAAAATATTTAGATTCAGAAAGTCGTTAATTCTGATAGTGTGTACAATTTGATATGCATATTTTTTCTAAATACATCTGTCATAGCTGATCCCATGCTTAATCTAGGTTTATGTCCTTTGTCCTTCATACAGAAACGATGCATGTCATCGTATCTCTGTTGCATGGATCGATGCTCATGATGTCAATCACAGGATTGTATGGTCCAGACTCGATTATTTCCAGACGCCGTCATATAGCTGGAATATTGCTGAGTGCAGCGTTAAACAACAAACAAACAAAAAAACAAATAATACAGAAACGTTTATGAAGTAAACTCCCTTAGTCTTTGTTCACTCCCATAGAAATTCAATGGTACCTTGGCTGAAGCTGATATCAAGGTAGCAGAAAACATTCTGTGATCCAGCTACGGTAATAAAAATTAATAATGTCCTTACAAGTAATAAACTTGTAACACGATCCCACAGACAAATCTGTATGGGAAGAATACTGCCGAAGGCTACATTTTATGTTGGTGATCTATAAAGCTTTATAAATCTGAACGAATCACACATGTATGCTAGTCCTTGTGTGACATGCATGATGTATTGATTTACATGGAAGTGAAGACCAAATACCATATATTGTACATGTGATTGGATACAGATTGTAACATATCAACTGTGTAACAAGATACACTTTTCCTTGGTTGATGATTATGATGAACAATTATCTAGGCACTAGCCAAGCCCAGCCAGTCCACAATTTCATGTTATGCAACTACTCCACTCTGGCCTTTGAGGGGTGCAAGGATCTGTTGGTTGTGGGTTCAATCCCAGACCTGCCCTTATTATGATCCTGTCTCTACTCTCCAGGGGTTTCTTCAAGGGGTAGTGTTATGACCAGGGCTCGTTCCACAAAGCGATTGTAACACTATGACTGTCTTAAGTGTATATTAAAGTATGGGAGTTACGATTGTCTTCGTGCTACAATCGCTTTGTGGAACGAGGCCCTGCACCTCTTTGGACTTCCCTCCTATATTTAGCTGGCCTATTGCCCGATATTAAGTGTAAAAATTTCGAAAAATTATTTCATGGTAGGTGTCGCTATTAAATTAGCAGGCTTTTACAAAATAAGCAGTGGATTCACGATAGACTATACCCCCTTCATTAAGAGTACATAATAATAATACTGCCTGAATATGTCTACATGCAATGAATGAGTTGGTTGAACATCACCACATGATAGCTTTGAGGGAATTGTTTCACTATGGTCTCAATTATGCTTTGTACAATTCATCTGACAAAATTATTATTTTTTAAACATTTATATGTTATAAACGCTATATAAAGGCTGTAGTTATGAAACAGTTATTGTGCATGTATTGGAAAATTACATCTCAGAAGATTTCTACTGAACAAGAGGAGCATACACTTAACATTATTGTTATGATATTTCATTACATCTTGAGTTGTCTCTGGACTTTTGCCATTTCAGATTCAGATTGTTGTATGTATCTACAATAGTTATATATCTGCAATATATACAACAATCTGAATCTGAATCTGAATCCTCCACAGACAATTTGTAAAATTCCTGAAATTTACAGGCAATTTACAGAATCTCTTGGAAATTTGGAGTACATGTGACTGTGCCAGCAGAACTTTTCTTGGCAATTATAATGTAATTTTAAAAAGGATAACATAAAACAACTGCAAGAAATAATTATCTGTGTTTTAAAAAGAAGCCAGTGTAGAAATTAATTACCTCATAAGTGACAGGAGATATGGAGTTATGACTGTTCGAATGATTTTAAGACTGCTTCAAAGTCATTAAACTGATTAAGTGACCTTTAAAAATATTGGCATTTGTGAAGTTAATTCACAGAAAGGTATATACCATGATATAGATAATTAGTGCCCCTCCCAAAAATATACCCTTGCACACCCACACCTATTGTCAGAGTTGTTTCAGTTGTACTACCTGACTTTTGAATTAATAATAATCTGAATCCAAAGTAATTAATCCCATTGGTTTGTTGTGGTTCATTGATATGATCAGCCAATCTGTCAAATGTACCAACTTTGTTTGAAGTTTGTAAAATGTCTGAAGTGTTAAGGAATAACTGCCCGAGTGAATTAAGCATTATTATCATTTGTTTTCTGTATGTGCTGTTACTTGTACCAGAGCTTATTATTTCTATTATGATTGTGATTTATGAGTTAGCTGTTGATGTTGGATGACAAAATTGACATCTTCCCGAGGCAAGGGAGTTAACTGTCTGTAAAAGTTAAAAGACTGTAAAAGTCCAGTTTCTACCCTTGCCGAACTAGGCTGGACTTACAGTGGTGTGTTTTAACTGGACTAGTGCGTCTATGCACAGTCTAATTCAAATCGTGTAAAGAACATTCAGTTCATAAACAACATGGCGACTGCCGTGCAAATTTTGGTCGATTGCAGGATTTGCAGAGCATGTATACCGCCAACTGGGTGTTGGAAGAATCTTTTCATGTTTTTGATCAAGATGCTCAAGTGATTTGATGCATTTTGTAAGGTTAAAGGCCTGTTTTATTACAATTAAGATTTTGATTATTGACTAGATCGTCTTGACTGGGCACCGCAACTTTGTTTGAAGTAAATGCAAGTGATATGAGAGGTGGAATCTGATAGGTCAATAGGAGGGACACAGAAGGGACGTAACTTGTAATAGCCACTGGTGGCGCTACGATCGAGCCACAAAATTCCAGCCTAGTTCAGTTCCGGTTGTAGGTAGAATTGGCAATGAACAGATGCTTCAAATGCCGTATGCTAAAAAGTTGTGATTGTACATTTTGTTTTAGTGATTGTACAAATATCTGTATATAGATATGTGTATGTGTGTGTTTTCAACTGTAAATAGCACTGACATAATGCAAACATTGTTTCAATGAAAGCCTGAATAAACATCCTGAGATTGAGACATTTATTTTGTCGCTTGTACAATTATGATTGTTTGCAATTTGACAAACAGTCAAATATTGAAGTACTTGCTTGTTCTACAAAACTTTTAATATTAAAGAAATAATGGAACCCTATTGCAAATTAAATAGGCATTGTGTAGGATACAGCACAGGTTGTTCCAATGCTCTCTTAATGGAGAAATTGTGATCCCAAGATCAAATACCAATGGTAAGAAAAACTTTGCAAAAGTACTTATAAACCAAAACATGTTGATCAACACACATATGTTCTGTCTTTTTGTCTTGCACAAGATCCCCTCGATTTCTTCATACAATAACCTTATGGGGATTGTCTGGTCCCAAGCACCACTCTGCACCACTCTCTAACATTGATTCCAGCTGTATGATGTGGTCTGATTGTCTGGACTAGACAATCCAGTGATTGATATAACCATCAAACTATGTAATTGGGATACAATGACATACATCAACCTAGTCAGCAATCCTGACCACCCGATCCGATCAGTTGCCTCTCTTCCGGGGTAGAATAGGTCTTCAGCAACCCCTGCTTGCCGTAATAGGTGACTATGCTTGTCGTAAAAGGCGACTAACGGGATCGGGTGGTCAGGCTCGCTGACTTGGTTGATGCGTGTCATCAATCCCAATTGCGTGGATTGATGCTCATGATATTAATCACTGGATTGTCTGGTCCAGACTCGATTATTTACAGACCGCCGTCATATAGCTGGAATATTGCTGAGTGCGGCGTTAAACAACAAACCAACCAACCAACCAACCAGTTGCCTCTCACGACAAAAACAGGTTTCTTAAGACAAGTTCAAACCCAGATCTTACATTGGAACATTGATTCTAAGTATCATATACACAAAGAGGTGACAGTGAGTTAACAATTGATCAGATTTGTTCCGATATTATCTTGGAACTATGTGATAAATGGAGAGACTTTTGTAAAAAGACGATGGAGAAACAAAATGAAGACACAATTTTTATTATTCATTTAACAAAACAAATAATGCTGTAGGAGGAAACTACAGACTTAGATGAAAACCACAGAAAGCCACATATCACAGACAACATTGCATGTATCACAGTTAACTACTGGTATTGGTCTTTGATTCATGATGAGTTCAAGACCTAAATGTACAAAAATAGTTTTAATATCAACAGTCCTGCTTATTAAATAGCACAGGAAAGAATTATCAGTACTCATAAAAATATGAATAACTGGTTATATGACCTCCAGGCTTTTATTCCCTTGCAATGCTTTTCAGAGTAAGAAGCTGAACACGTTATTTTAATATTTATACACTAGATTTAAACAGCAAAACTACCACTATAACAACATAGGAAACTGTCTTTCATTGATTTATCTGTATTTACAGAACTGTTGTTTTCAGTACTTGAAATTTGTTGCGTTCATTATCTCTGTTGCTTGGGGCTTTGATAATGACAGGATTCGAAATGAAGTTTTTGTGCTAAAGTCAGTCGAAATCTTCTTCATCTGAAATTGAAATAACATATATCAACATTTGGCCAACTGAAGAACTACTGCATTACTACAACCACCCTGACAAATCAGACAACCGTTCATGAGTGTAGTAAATGTGAATAGCAACCCTTACCTTGAGTACCACTTTGCATCTCTCCAGCAGATACAACCACTTGCTGCTTGTTTTCCTTGGAATGTCAAAAGACTGAAACTCAGTAGCCTGTTGTGAAAAAAAAGCAAATATGTATTAGTGAATTACAACTGTTATGATATGCATGGACATACTCTCAGTTTCTGGAGAAAAAATGTTTTTAAAAATAATACACTATTATAGTAGGATATATACAGAAATGCAAATTCCAAGCTTTTACTCTGATGCAATACCTCTCTTTGTGAAGATCTGAGGACACCTTCATAGGAGGTTGTGTCGGGTGAACATTTTAATCGGCCAAACAGCATCAAGACTTCTAAACTTACGGTAAATCCATACCTGCATATGGTACTCCAAAAACAAACTAAAACAACAAATTCTGAATGTAGATTGAAAAGGCAGGGCCATTATATTGCAAATATGTTATACGCCCTCCCACTTTTGAACACAGTGGTATTTACATTAAAATGGAGTTCCATGGAAGGAATATTTGTGAACTGTGCAGGTTATCAGTTGCACAAATAAAATTTTCTGACTCAAAGTGTACGTGGCAAGGAAATGAACCTGAATCTTTTCTGACATTTGATTGATTCATGCATCGCTCATTTAAATTAGGCAGTCAAAGTTCATTCGCGGTTCACCTGAACCAAATTTCTATAGAGGTGTTGTCATATCTTCAAGCAAAGAAGTACATGTATTGTATCAGAGGAACCTGATCTTAATGAGATTGAAGTCCCTAAATGTGAAGTTACCATTTGGAACTCTGGATTGTGACAAGATAGGTTACAGCAAAGTGACTTAGCTCACCTTACAGCCCAGGACCTCTTCTGCAGGTGCCCCTTGCAGATTACAGTAGTCAAGGGTGCCAGTGTGGTCTGACACAGACAGCCAGATGTTGAACTCCACAGTGGGGCCAGACAGGTCAGTGGCCATTGGGTCACTTCCTGGACATTGGTCATTGGTGCAAATGAATCCAGTATCAGCCTTGAGTTCTCTCTTACAGTTGGAGCTGAAGAAAAGATCATGCATGTTTCTAACTATTTATGATGTACTGAAGTGACTATAATCCATTCTATTCTTTTGGGGGGCGGTCGGGTAGCCTAGTGGTTAAAGCGTTCGCTCATCACGCCGAAGACCCGGGTTCGATTCCCTACATGGGTACAATGTGTGAAGCCCATTTCTGGTGTCCCCCGCCGTGATATTGCTGGAATATTGCTAAAAGCAGCGTAAAACTATACTCACTCACTATTCCATGGGGAATAAGTCATGTCAGAGACCTTCTATTTTATGGTCTCTGGTCATATATATCGTAAGTATGTACGTCTATGTCACAAATATCTTAGTTGCTATACCCTTCTTCTAAGATTCAACAATCTGACAGCATGTTTTTTTTACCATATATGCACCAAAATATCTGATAATTTCTAAGTTTGATTGATCAAACCTCAATGATATTATCATCCAAAATAAAATAATTTAATGATATTTAAAAGATCACTATAAAAAGGATCATAGCTCTGCATCTCACTTTAATGTTGTGCAACATTTCCATTCTGACAATCAAATTATTTTAAATAAAACTCATTATAGAAGTAATTAAAGGGTCTGAAATCAAAATAGTTATGACAACAGATATGTTAAAAATATGTATGTTGGATTATAACTTGATCAAAATTGAAGATGAGCTGAATGGTGTAACGTACCATACATTCTTGAATACAGTGTTGCTGTCGGCATCTATGTTGAATGTGGTGACATAGACATACATGACACAATAGTGTACACTCTGCTCCTGGTCCGACACTGCTGCCTTCCACTGCTTCACCTTCTCCACACTGTAAACATCCCTGATGCTTGACACTTGGGGAGGATGGAGGAGGAAAAAAAAAAAAAAAGAGACATTAAAACTCAGATGTCAAAGATGGAACCGTGGTTATGCTCCAGAAACAAACCCTACTCTCAACTGCCATGGAAACACAAAACAGAAAAATAATCTTCAATAACAGGAGGCACCAGTTCAGTGCATGCCTTACATGTATACAAAGTTTCATGAAGAAATATTGAACGGTTAATGAATTCTGCTGTGGAAACGAAACATGACAGATGGACTGAACCTGTTTCTGTAACCCTAGTCTGTCTCCCAGACCCTAGAGAATAAATTGAAACATGAGTCAAACTCCAGTCTAGAATGATTTGGCAAGTCCTGATATGAAGGATTGTCCTGGACTCCATTGGGATTTTTTATTTTTTTATTTTTTTATTTTTTAGATACATATTATTAGTTATGGTGTCTTGAGTTGCCGTATACGGTGTCATATTAGGTTAGCAGAAAAATATTGGACTCACGCCTCGCCCAATACTTTTCTGTTAACCTAATATGACACCGTATGCAGCAACTCAAGACATCATAACGAATTCATAATGCCGAAAAGTTTACAGTATTTGGTATCTTTATTGCACAAGTCATGTCAAAATGAAAACTTGATGTTACAACTGGTATTAACGACAGGACCAGTACATATGTTTCCGATACAAAGCTTCAATGTAAACATAAATGTTTACAATGGAATATGTAATGCACTAAATGTGAACATTTAAACAAGTATCATTGCTAAAATGGAAAATGCCCGCATGTTATCAGAGATCTTCAGGCCACTGTAACTTGACAGCAGTTCGCTTCCCCTAATGATGGGCTGCTATTGTTTCTATTGCTATTTGACATCATTGGCGTCACGTTTCTTGTTTGTGACGTCATCCTGTATTATGTTCCATGACATTGCTATTTGTGACCTCCGTTGTAAGTTTTTTTTCTCTACAATTTTATTAATAAAGTTACAATTAATGTCTTTGGGTTTCACAATAAATGATATTAAAACTCAAAACAGAGTTGAATAACGAAATACTGTACCAGAATTATCATGTGAAATCTGTGAGGTGGGTGTTGGAAAATCCAAAATTGCAGTTACTGACGGTATACGGTCTCATATTAGGTCAGTAACAACCATCTTGGATTTTTACTGATGGTATACAGGCTCATATGGAGTTAGTAGTTCAGCTCTCTGACTGGTCAATCTCACTTTGGGGCATAATAATTTTAACAATGATAACTCCGGGACTAAATGTCAGTCTACTGTAACCCCTACAAAACTATGTTTGGGCAGTGGATAAGAAAGTCCACAAACAAGAAGCAAAGTTGAGAATGATCTGAGACTAATCTTGGCAATGGATGAAGAAAAGATGGCAAGATGAAGGTCTCTGCTGAAATGTGTACAAATACTGTTACTTACACTCTGGGTCCTGTTCACTCCTGTCTGTGTCTGCCAAGAAGCTGGAACCCATGTCTGCCTGGGATTTCACAAACTGGTACAAGATATGGCCTTCCGGAGTGTCTGTAAAACCACAACCATGTTACCATATAAATCTAGTTATCTACATTTCACTACATAGTAATTCCTAACTCGTAGTATTTTAGGCATTTTTCAGACAGATTTTACACAACCCTACAGGTAAGGTGAGGTGAAATTGGGTTTAATGTTAAGTCCTAGATTACTGCACTTATATAGCGAGGTACATGCATGTGTGAGTGTGTGTGGCTGCTTGTACTAGTCCAGACTAATGCTGATTTTATAGTGCTTGCCCACTGAGATACCATTACCCTGTTTAACATGAATACCCACTCAGACAGAGTATATTGACTAAGAGCCGACCAGTCCTTGTTTTAGCCCCTTAATGCTGAGCTCCAGGCAGGGTAACAACAAGTACCATTTTGTAACGTCTTTTGGTATGATGCGGCTGGGTATCGAACCCTGACATTCTGCTCTCCGGGTGGAGGCTTTACCACTAGACATGGGGGCGGTCTACAAAACACTACAGATGGACAGGTAGAAGGAATACTTCATTCTTGACAACACTTGCTGAAGCATATATACTAATGCCTATGTTCTATAGCCATTTAATGTCATCATGATGATGAATTTTCTTGTGATTGCTAAACCTACTAACCTGGGTCAACAGTGAAGACAGTTTTACTATCAGCAGTTGCAGACATGCAGTCTTTGTAGCTATTGTGGAGGATTTTAACATCTGCAGCAAATATTACTGAAACAAATATACAGATCTTATAATACAAATGCAATTATACAAACTAAATTAAAATTTGTGCATGCTGTAACATCCTACAGAATTAAGAATTGTTTTAACGATGCCAATGTTAGAAATAATCTTCATACCTCTCTCTATGTTTAATATGAAACAATTATCAAACTTTTATTTGTAATAATCTAAAGGTTGATAGTGACAGTCATCTCATAATTTAAATTATGTTATTTATCCTAAACTGAAGTAGTCATCTACACTATACATTCAATGAAGAAACCTATGATTAACTTCATGAAGTATTTTAGGTCAGCGGTCTACATTTGCATTAATATGGTAACAAATTTCATGATTTGCAGTATTCATGAAGAGTACTTAATGTAGGATCAACCACATTAGTTAGTAGAGCTGAAGGGTTTGTTATACTACAGATATGTACTCCAGGTACGTTTCAGTATACAGAAATGTACCCGAGCCAAAATCAGTCTTCAGCAGGAGAAGAGGGGATTATGTGCATAGACCTGTTTAGTATTTTTTTATATTCATGCTAGTTCAAAAGAAACGTTAATATATTTTTGTGGTATCCCCAAAATAAGTAGGATTAAACTGATATATTAAGATTACATCAAACTGAATTATGTTTACTGTTTGTTTCGTTGTTAAAAAATGTTTAAAGCCACAGCAAGGCTACTCATTCTGAACATACTAGGCACAATATAGCGGGACAGAGGGGACCTTCCCCTCACTGATCAGTTAACAGTAACGATATGGCTTATTATGGGGAGAGGCTTGGCACGGATGGTTGGAGAACTGCAGGGTGAGTTGATGGTTAAAAAACAGATAAGGGAGATCATTTTACAACTGCAAACCCTTATTCCCCAAAGTATGTAATACACTTCACTTCAACTTGTTTGAAAGGACATTGAGATTTTCAAAGTTCTAAAACAGCGTTCCCATTTACCAGTAATTACATTTTTGCACTGAACATGATGTTGAAAGAATTAAAAACAAATAATTTTCATATGTTTTTTTATATGTTGAAAGTTGGGACTGGCAAAAATTAGGGGGGACTGGTAATTCTAAGAGTAGCCAGTCCACAATTTAAGGACTGGCAGTTTCAAAAGCCAGCGGAAACACTTTATAAGCATGACAAAGTGAAAGATTTGGTAATTAACCAACAAGTAAAAAAGGAATTATCCGTCCTGAGTATATGAATGGTGTTAATCCCAAGCCTTCGGCAATTGACTTACAGCATTATTTACGGGGGACAGATACTGGTAGTCCTTAATTGGTATTTTGTACAGTACTTATTGTAACTTTAAGAAAGAAAATAATGAAAAAAAAAAGGAAATGTCAACCTATTTTTTTATGACATAATATTATAAACTTGAGACGTTATGATTATGTCACATCATAGCATCTCAACACTGGAATGACATCATACTGCAGCAGCTGCCCAGTCAGCAGCAGTAGAAACTAATGATAACTTTCAAAATGGCAAATTTCTACTAGTCCTTATGGGCAGATAGTGAAGGACTACAGGACTAGTGCCAATTTCTAATGCTGACTCAGCATTGAGCATTGCTTAGAAGCACATGTGCAGTATCAGAAAGTATTACACTTGTTCTTTCTACCCCTATGGTGAATATATTTTAACATACTTGTTTGACGAGGGACCCAGTTCAAGGCAAACTCCACATAGTTGTCCCATCTGTAAGAAGATTTCATTGTGTCACAGAAGAAGGAGCAAAATTGAGAGATAAATATCAGTAAATACAGACAACCACATTACCTCCCCACAGAGTGCACTTGACATGAACATACACTGATGGCACAAGATAGAGGAATGCAAAAGCATTTTGTTCAATAATGTTTCCTGTTGTGTTTCGTCAAAAAAAAAAAGTCACAAAGTGATAATACTATCTGGATTATTTGCAAAATTGATGGATAGGATTTTGTCAGTGTTTTTTTTGTCAGGGTATGTACAGAAGGCGATGCTGAACAAGTAATTCCCTGAATGGGAAAACAGTTGAGGCAGTCTGTGCCAAGTTTGTTAGAGACTGCTAGAATTTGTCTTTTGACAGCATTTTCAGCATTTACAATCATACATATGGACTATTATTAGCTCAGCTTCTACTAGCAATCAGACTATTGGCTAAAGTTCCAGACTGTATCAGCAACTTATTAAAATGACAAAAATAAAATATAAGAAATTATTAATAACTAGAAATCAATTGGGTTCACTGGTTGTCAAAATGTCAAAATGTACTGAGGCACAAACACATTCTCATTTTCAGATTACTGATGGTATTCAACTATCAACATAGACAAAACAATTAATTTTCTTTTCTTTTTTTCAGAAAAGTGCATTTATTCAGATACATTTGGCCATGGTTTAACAAAATATCCTCCTACATTCCCACATGGTCAAGGAATATTTGGAGCAGCACATATGTTGTATATTTTAACATACAATTCATATTCTAATTATTGACCGTGTGGCCATTCTTGGTAGAAATAAAGATAAAGACAGTAAATGTGAAAACTGAATCAAATATATGTCTCATTTCTCAGTGCTTGAAATACATGAATGTTTAGACCATTATGTCCATTAAGTTATATCACTAGTAATCAAGTTTAAATGCCAAAATGGGATTTAAAATCAAAATATGGGAAAACATACAGTTTATCAGTTACATGTACATATTTTCAGACCAATTATTTACTTAACTGTGCATGGATAAATTCACTGAATGCCATGAATCTATCCCAAATAGAATTATCAACATTGAAGTGATGGGGAGACTGCACATATAGACGACAGCTGAAGAAAATTTACTTACAATGTGAGAATGAAATTTGAGCAGGTTTCATCACAGAGAACAACATCACATTTCCTGGTTTGTTTGCCTGTTTTTGTGGTAATATCTCTTGCTGGCCAAACCTGTTTGAAACATAAGAAACGGACAATCACATTATGATTTTACTCTGTACATCAGCATAGGAAATAATGAGTGAGTATCAAGCAAATGTATTCACATATGAGTTTTAGATTGACAGAAACTGTTATTGTGAAGAAATGCAATGCAAAAACATGCTCTTTATCACAGGAGTGAAAATGAGGCATAACTGCAAAGATAATGGGAAGGAAAGATCAACAATAAATTGCTGCATCAACGGATAATACATATAAGAACACACAAGAATTGCATAAGAAAGAAAAATGTAACCAGTTTTCCCTTGTTGTTTAAGAGATTAAGCAGCTATATTGGCTTTTAACATATATTTCCTCATTCATGTCATAAATATTAGAGAGAAAATATATTTGAAAGAAAATTTTAGTTGTGCTAAATATGAAACCTGTTTGACAGCAACAAGCAGATTAACATGTTCCCCTTGTAATGCTGTGCCATTAACACTGACATCCTCCAGAGTGTAGTAGTCGTTGTTTGGTCTGGTAGGAACATGTTTGAGTCTGTTGTATGTGGATAGATCCCAGCCAGAATACAGCTCAACGCTACTGTGGTTCTCTGAAAGATTCAGTTGAAATCCACTGGAAGAAAAATCAGTACTTGTTAACCAGAGCCACTTAAATTCTTAAAATGTTCTCAAAATATTTGTATCACATTTCACAAAATCTTTGACATGAACTTTCACTTTTATTATGTTTACTGGAAAATAAAGTGCTGAAATAGCACAAAATGCCACAAGTTATCAATGATGATTGTACAAGCAAGGAAAAGACATAGGGATGAACAACTTCTTTATTACAATTAGGAGCACTGTTATCAAGCAAGTGACGAGTTGGTTGTCTCTGCATCACATCAGGAACGTAAGGTGGTTGGATGAGTGGATGTACTTGTGCTCAAGGTTGTTCAGTCGGTTGATGGTTGACATTGCCACGTCTCCATGAAACTTCTTTGACAGGCATTTCAGAAGTTGGAGTACTAAGTAAGGATAAAAATATATGGATGAACATCTTTTTCATTACAATTAGGACGTAGGTTCTAACAATTGCTTGATACCGTTGTTAGAACCTCCACCGAAACGTTGCTCCTAATTGTAATAAAGAAGTTGTTCATTGATATATTTCATCCTTACTTAGTACTCCAACTTTTAAATGCCTCTCAAAGAAAGGATTGTACAAGGTTGAATATCAAACAATCCAAAGACATGCCTATGGTTTTTACCTTGGTGTCCATGGCTTGTATCGGTCATCATTTGGGTTCACTGACTTGCTTTGAACCTGGGCATTTCTCACTTCAACTGTTCATAACATTACATCATCATTACAATGTATTGACCTCAACATGTGCGAATAAGGGAGTGAGTTTGGTTTAACCCCTCTTTTGAGCAGTATAGAAGGTATATTATGGAACGTTAGCTTCGTGTTGGAAGAAAGCCTAATGTGGTCTTGTCAGATTCTGGCATGGCTGGGATATATACAAATAAAGGGCTGGTACTATACACAAACTGTGCGATCTGATATGTATCACGATACCTTGCTCATGATCTGATACATATCATGATACTTCCATGCGCTCTTATATGTGGTCTGTCCCTAAGCCATTTCTTTTCAATGCACACTGATGATTTACAGTTGGCAGTGTCAATTATGGCACAATGGATGAAAATATTTATGTTTTCACTACTAATTTGCACTACTAATTAGTGTTTAGTGTAACAAAAGCAAACATTGAAAGTAAGAATCAATATTTTTACTTGATGTGTGACTGTGATCGATACTTGTATTGAGAAGTAAAACATTGCCGTCCACTGATGCATAGGTGTATCGTCCCATCGTAATATACAATGTGTGAATATATGATCTAAACCCTACACTTATAATGAAAATTCATCCCATTAAAAACATTTATTAATATTCTTTGCTAACACCAGGTAGATATTATCTGAACGTTTTAGTCAAGGATTACATTTACTCGTTTTCTGTGTATGAGCATGACAATACTTTACAGACGTGAACATGATGAAAGCAATATAACATAAAAGTATGGGATTACAAGGTCCCCTATGGCTGAATAGATGTAAAGATGTCAGTTAACTATTGCAGTTCATCACAAACAGATTAAGCATCATAATATGTGACCCACCAGGAGAAAAGTGACCTTATAGGTGCTAGGATACCATTATGCTGTGACATCATAAACATGATAAAGAAAGACATTTTACGTCAATTTACTTCCGTCACCATATGTCTGAGGACTGTACAAAAAATCTTATTTTTCTTTTGTTAGTTTGTAATATAATGAAAACATCATTTCAGAACATTTCAGCATACATGTCTACTTTCAACTAATCACACATTATGTCTAAAAATGCAATCATTACATAAACAGTTATAAGTTTGAAAATGTTTGATGCCATGTATTTCTGTAAGAAATATGAATAGAAGGTGATGAATTGTATTTTTGTGGTCCTAGGATACTGTAGTTTAAACACATAATAAGAAGTCAAAATGTGATGTTTCACCCATAAGGTCCCTCATCTCATGGTTCACATATATTGCTTAGCATCTCTTTGATATTCTGACATTTTGGTTTTTGTTTCTTATCAAGTGTTCCAGTACCTATTTTTTTCTAGAAGTTATGTCTTTTCAATTTGAATGTATAAATACTGGATACACTATTTAAATTTGATTTCATACATCTACAAAATAGTTGAGGAAATCATTTGCCTTTTATTGAAGAGGGCTGCAACATGCATTTGATCGTCTGAATGTTTAATGCTCCTGTGAAACATTCATTTCTTGTAATATCTTCCAACTAATCTACATTTCTATAACACAAGGAATTGTATCAAATCTCACCAATATCTCCAATGTTAAAAGACTGAGCCAGGTTAGTGATGAATCCTTCATTGCCCCAGCATGTACAATTGATCAGTGCATCAGGACTATCCCTGAGTGCAAATGAAACCAGAAATCTTTCGGAACCAGAGCCTGAAGTCAGCAAATAACATGTAAAATTAATCATTATGTCATGCATGTCATGTAACATGTTTGCCCACTCATTTATCATATGTCTACACAGACCCCCTTCCCTTTTAGAAAATACTTACCCTTTTTGCTTATGATAGATTTTGGTCCATCTTTTGTAAGTATTGATCCAATAAGGTTCTGAAAGAGAAACAATATATGTACAATGGCCCACTATAATAACTAAAAGTCAATAATTAATATACTTATTGCCTTGCAATGAATGGGTGACTATAGTCATTGCATTAAGTAGTTTACAAAACTCAAGACTGCTATTTTGCTTCAGTGTAAAAACATTATTGTTTATCTATATTTCATGAAACTTTATGTACACACCTTTAAATGGACACAGTATCTGTACCAAACATTACCATTCATTCTAAACTGCAGCATAGTTATGACACAGTGTCTTTTGTTTCTCACTATTACAATGGCACAAAACATCTAATGTTCGCTGTCAGTTTCACAGAGAAAACTGTAATTTCTGAACATTTACCCATGTTGGTACATGTTACCATCATGTACGATGCTATGTTGCCATCTTTAAAGCTGTGAGAAGTTGTCAATATATGTCATTTCAAAGAACTTATATGGGGCTAATATATACAAAACTTATTCATAAAGAACGATCTGACACCAGAATCATCAATCATGAAAGTGATCATCACGACACAGGATTCATCAGCAGAGTTCTATTATCCTTTCAGAAAATCTGGGATTGTTATCGGTTATCTGGGGTGATTACCACATAGGGAATATCTGGAGTTATCTCATTGATTTTCACTGGAACTCCTGAAGCCGTTGTTCCAAAACTGTTGCTGCCACCTGATGACCTGTTCCTCTGTTTTCTATTGTCATCGGTAGTTGAATAGGTGCTGAAGTCATCAAATCTTCCTGACCATGCCATTCCGCATATATAGATCTGATGGAAGTACAAATGGTTAGTTGTTTTCACAGTCTATATTAATTACCAGTCTATGCTTTGAAAAGCATTCCATGTCTGTTGACACTAAAACGACCATTACCTATATTACCCTAGAACTATCGGTACAGACAGGAAAGGTACGCCTAACTTGGCTATTCATAATAAAAATTCTCAATATGAACATGTAAGGTTAGAATGCAACTATCATTGGTAATATTTCTACATGTCATCACGATACTGATGAGGTGTCAGGTAGTTCTTCTATTTTGTTTGACACACTTACGTGACTGGTCAAAAGAGCGTCTGCTACAGAAGTTGTTTACATTTGACGCGCACGTGCAGTTACCGGAAATAGAAATACCGGAAGAGGGTCATTAAACTATCAGAACATACTCATGTAACCTATATAACTCGCCATTACACGTTGTACGGATCGCGAGTCGGAGTTTACCGATATAAGCTGAGTTGCAAGATATATAAACATGGCGGATGAGAGCGATACGGGATCTATTCAGAGCAGTCAAAGTGAACAAGGACCTGAAAAGAAAGCATTTGAAGATTCTCGTTTCTACGCATTGTATATATTTTGTCCAAAGAGGTAACAGTTTTGATAATTGAAACGTGTGGCTGCTTATCTGACTCTGGCGACTGGAGTCAGTCCCACTTGCCAAATAATTAGATTGCTTCATATTCACGAATGTTTCTATGCTTCGTTTACAGAAATGTGGACTACATTTAGATTCAAAATATGCCTAGTTGTCTTACTTAAAAATATGTAGCTCAGAATCAAAAGTAATATCCAAATGGAGTCCACAGCAATGTTTATTTTCAGAGCTGAGACAATCTAGACTTGCCAAATCAATCTAGATGTGAAAACATAACTCTTTTTCATGCATAACAACTTCATAAAACAAGTGTCATGTATTCCATTTCTTCCAACTTCAAAATTCCGATCAAAGACGTCAGTCTAGACGATGTAGACTTGAGTTGGATATATCTTTTTACTTTATTCTCTTGAGTATCAGGGTATGGCGACAAACAAACAGATGGTAACACGCTACATTTTTGAATGAAACAATGATGACAGTTTTGATATCACGTTTACTAAGACTGTCTCAATATTTTTGTTAGGAACTTACTCAAGCATTTTGTTGTATTTATTCAGGTCTCGAGCCACTGGAGAGGATGCTGACAGCTCGAGCCACTCAGAAGATGGAAATCTCAGGTCTGTCATTGTGTTGAATTACTTTCTTAAAGGGAAACAACACTCCAACTCTCAGTCTTCTAGCTGGCACTGTTTTCATTATCACGCATAATCACCAGATGCCAATTTGCATCAGCAAACCAACAACCAGGCTTTGGAGCAGCGAGGGGGCAATTGGGGGACCTTGTTTGACAGCGAGAGGGAATCCCCTTGAACATGTTGAATCCTTATTTTGATTATCCCTCATAATCAGCAGATGCCAGTTTGCATCATTGTCAGAACAAACTGGGCTTCGGAACAACAAGGGGGTAATTGGGGGACCTCGTTTACAGAGAGGAGGAATCCACTTGAATCCTCACATTTGATTGGATGATGCTTACTAAAACCTTTAATCTTGAAAATTCAACTGCATGTGGAAATGTGTATGTACAATTACGTAGTTGATACGGGTACGTATTATTTTTGCAAAACTGAAGTTCAGTTTATATCCTCAAAACAGCAGCGACCCTTAATTGTCAGTCATATTGTATATAATACAACTATTACTACTGCCTTCTTGTCTTGCATGTTCATTTTATAAACCATACATCTCTGCATTTGTCATCATTCACTTGATGCTCAGTTAATGACTGACAGAGTCTATGTAAAATAACTCAGTAACGTTCACCCCTGCCTCTGAGGGAGTCAAGGATTTGTAGCAATCAGTGGTTCGCATTTGGCATTTTTAATCTATGATTGGGTTATACCGTTACAAATCCAGGTCTGATGAATGTACTACATGTTGTGTAATATGCACGTGGCAGCACAGCATAGTGGAATTGTCAGTTGAGTTGAAAATACATTGATCAAAGGATTAACTGATAATACATTGATTAATTAATTTCTGTAATCTTGCACAGTTGATTTGTCAAAAGTAAGTGTTTATAAAGTTAGTGTTTATATATGTAGGTTTACTAAACATTTGCTAAAGCAGATGGAATACACCTATGAAGTGACTATGTAAAAATAAGATACTTTTACCTGATAATACATTGATTTATTGCTCATTGTTATCTCCCAATGGATATGTTTTAACGAACCGTGGACATCATGAACATAGCTGGCAGTGTTCAAATTAAGGGGGTGCTAGAGGCTTAAATTTGTGTTATTTTTCATCTAGGTACTCCTAACTCTTTAATGTTTTAACATTAAAGTTCTGAGAAGGACCCCCTGGGTTTCATGCTTAATTTCGAACACAGCAAGAGATCAATGTTCTGATGACTCTGTTACTGATTGCAGTCTGACAGTGGCAGCAACCAACCTCTCTGCGGCAGCTGAAACTGACCTGAGGAAATCCCTGTCTCAGAGACTTTCGAAAATACCCAACAATCCAAATGAAGGCAATTTCCTGTCTGTTGGTTTAAGGTTAATAGATCTTGTTCATTTCAGGAAAATGTCAGTTTATACTAACCTCTTCTTTAGGCTGGCTAGTACTATGGCCATGGTAACAGAACTGGAATATTGACCCTTCTGGTACAGTTTGTTCCCAATTATCTTAAAAGACCTTTGTCCTGAAGAGGTTTTGTCAGATCTTGTTTGAGAGAGGTACTACTCAGAGAAAAATATTGATGGCACCAGGCAATGAGTATATATCCATTTATCAAATGTCAAATTGCCATTACTCACAAAGTTTAAACAAGTTGCATCAATGCATTTTCACAAAATATTACTGTCTCAATATTATAATGTTGCTGCATGTTCAATCTTTGTGAGTCATTGCTTGTAATTTTGTGCTTCAGTACAAGCGACGAGTTGAGCAACTCTGCAGTGTGCTACTACTGCGTGCTGAATGGTGGCACAGCTGAGGTGCTGAAAGAGGAGACGACTCTACCAGGAACACAATATGTCATCTGCTTCATTTCATTTCTCGACAGTTCACTGGATTTATATCCTTTTTATTTCCTACAGTGATATGTTCCTTCTTCAGTTTGCAAAAGGCCCTCCTATCTGTTTGAATAAAGAGCGTTGAATGAGTTAAAAATGAAGGTGTATTGGTAGCATAGCTTCCATATTGGAACCGAATGCATTGATTATGCAAACGAAAAGAAACACTATCAGATTTGACAGCGGTTGTTAGTGGAATACGTGCACAACTGCTAACAGAAACTTGAGAAAATGCGAGAAATGGCATCAATAAACATATAAGCGGTAAGCAAAATAATTTCTTTTGGTTAGTCAGACTCAAAGTCTTGACTATAAAACATAAAATCCATGTCATTGAGCAACTAGTATTCATATGCATCAGAATTTGTTATCTAAAGTAGGAGCTGTAAGTTCTAGTATCTGTTATTTCAAATAAATGGGCAGTAGTCAGGAAATGTCCCCGAACACGCTGAAGATGTCTGACATCTCGCCCATCAGATCCCAGCAATCTTAGCAACTGTGTGGTAGCCAAAACACACACATCTGGATTTGGTAATGGTATATGTTAATAAAATACATATAAATTAATATTATATTGTTTAAGAGCCACTCAGCCAGACAAATTCCCTACTTTTGATGTTGATTGACAATTTTATATTAGCCCTGTTATGTCAACAATTATTGGGCAAATACTAGATCTAGCTCTTAGCCGCTAACAGGGAATGAAATTATGAGTGAAATAATTTATCTAGCTCTATGACTGACAAGTTTTCCTTTCGACTCCCATCAAAATACATCGATAATGCAGACAAAATACATTTTTTATGAAAATGAATAATCTGTATCGAAGAGGAATTATAATTTACTTTCAATGTGCATTAACTTCTTTATAAGAATTACATTATCTGGAAACAAGCGTTGATTAAATCACCTCCCCGTTTTTCTTCTCCGCTACTGCCAGCCATGTTTCGTGCGCTGGGGCGACAGGAAGTGTTGTTGTAGTTCGGCGAAATGCAGAATTTAATGAATATGACAATGTATTTGGTTGCCGGTGCTGTCGGTTCCCGAAAGTGGCTGTGTGGTGATTCCAATGAGAACCGCTGTTTCGATGATAGTTACTATATTTTTATGGCATTTGAAACTATTCCTGCACACTTGGTAGCTATACACACAATATTCCTTACATTAATTCTGATAATGCTTCTTTTCAATCCAATAGATAGGAAGGCTTGGTGATCATTGTACCCGGTCTGTGTTCTTGAAAACAAGGCCCTGTGGAGATTCTGGGTTAGCATACCTATGTTGGTCATAAGAGATGACTTAGTGGGTCAGGTGGTCTGGCTAGGTGACTTGTTTGGAGGGCATGTTATTGTACTCCAACGCCATGGATCGCTACTTATAATACCAATCACTGATTTGTATAGCCCAGACTCCACTATTTACAAGCTGCTATCATACAGCTGGTATATTGCTGAGTGTGGCGTCAACATGGTTAAACAACCAACTTTAAAACATGATCAACCCATCCCAGACAGTACGTTATTGTAACATGTTATGTACAATTATGAGCCTTAAGACGCTCCATATTTTGCATATGCCTTGGAATTTGTCAAGTTCATCTATCTGTTATCAGGCGTCCTGCATTACAACAATTTGTTCCTGGTTTTTGATGATTCTTTCAAATTCTGGCATCAATAAACAACCGTCTTTGTACTTTGTATTCAGTAGTGAGCAGACATGGTAGAAAAGAGACAAATTATTTTATTTTATTCACCATTTTTCTAAAACTTATGGAAGGGTCCAGCCATATAAACATGTGTTATTCAGTTAAGCTTGTCTTTTATCTTGTAATGACATGGCTGAATACTAAACTAAATGTGAATTCTCTGGAAGGTTATTACCACTCTGACAGCATTGCTTGTATATTTTCCTGACTGGGTCACATTTCGCCCGGAGTTGGACCAGTACACAACTGGCATTGTCAAGCTTCTGGATGCTGAGGTACGTGAAAGCAGTAGTGGTGTGTTTTCAATGCTGGTGTGACGTTTTCATTATCAGGATTACGTGAAATGATCTCTGTCTGCAAGAGATGATCTGGTGATGCTGTCAAGGCTTATTTTAGAATCTGGTTTGGATCAAAATGACTATTTGAGAAGGTAATTTGATAATGGTGTTGCATTTCATTAAAGGTTTTGCCTGTGAGCAAGAGTGATTAACTTTTCAGTAAAACTATTAGCATGCTTCAGGTGATTAAAGATCATGAAGATATGGAGGCTAAATATAACCCTTACTTTGTCTTTGTTTTAACTGGAAGCAAGTTTCTTTTGGGTAAAAATAGGTAAAACAATTAATATTTTAATTAACCAATGATTTTCTTAACTGCATCAGATCTGCTTAATTTAACTGCATGGAGATATAACCGTTGTTTTAGACTGAATTTTTGTAGATGCATGATCTAATTTCTAGTTTCCAATGTAGAATTAATGTCTATTTTATATCACATCAATTGTAACGTGTTATATTAAACAGGATTGTATTAACAAACGTTCTTTCTTGCAGTGACGTTATTTTGCTTCCATGCAGAGTTTTATTTGATTTGATGTGGGTTGCTAGTTTAGCAGATTGTGTATACTAATAACAGATATGAGGTGGTCATTATGGTACTGTCTAACCAGTTTTTGCACTTTTCCTTTGCCAAGTTTTGCTATGGAGGAGTGGTGGGTCGTATGACTTAAGTTTAGTGCCTTGGTAACAGAACATACCACACCACGCGTTTACAGATCATTTTTGGCACAGTCTTGGGTTGATGCTGCACCAACATTTATTTTTACCACTCTGCATGTCACAAGTTCTTCCCTCACTATTCGCATTTGCACCAGAGACAAAAAGACACAATTTGGATTAGAGTTTTTGAATTTTGAATGAAGAAATATGTCTTTTGTTGAAATTTGAATTGAAGTGTATGCTGCATCCAATATATTTGAGATACAGATTATGAAGTTTTGAAAAGATAAGGGGGCAGTCAGGTAGCCTAGTGTTCGCTCATCACGCGGAAGACATGTTTTCGATTCCCGAACATGGGTACAATGTGTGAAGGCCATTTCTGGTGTTACGTGTGATATTGCTTTAATGTTGCTGAAATCGGGGTAAAATCATTTTCACTCACTCACTCGTATAGATAAAAGATAACAGAAGAAGGGCAAAGTTAGTTAACAGCAAGGACATTCTCACTGACTGCAGTAGACTAATGCTTAGTCTCTTAAAATTTATAACTTTGATTGAAACTAGCAACTATATTTTAATTAAAAAGGAGCCCCAGTGAGATGGGAGAACCTGTGGAAAATCTAGACTTGCTTGATTTAGGGCTGAAGCATTGCAGTAAGGCTCGGGCGGAAAGGGAAAATGATATGGTTGAGGGACTGAGACAGACTGTGAGTGTGTGAGCACATGTCCAGGGACTGTCCACCACCCTCCACATCCTCCTCCTTCAGTGTCCTGCATGCTTTGTCTCCTTCAGCCTGCAGCCATTAGAGAGACTTCATCCAAGTCCGCCAACTCCGACTCCGCACCACACGGGCAGGTAAACCATGATCACACATGCCTCTGTGTGTTACTGTACTCCCACACTGGGACATTGTTTTAACATGGTAGGAGGATCTAGGCAATGCCCCCTGTTGTAGAAAGATGGCTTTGTGTTCAGGGAAGGGTTGTGGAGTAAATCAGTGTTGGACCTACCCTGTATGTGCCACGTAATATTTTGGATCTACAAACATAGGCGGATCACCCCCCTCTCTTCTGAAAACCCATGTTATTATTCCCTTTAACTGTGGTTACAAGCATGAATACAAAGCTTTGGTCAATTCTTGTTTCGTATAAACAGATGTTGCCAGAATATTGCTGAATGTGGCTTTAAAGATGTACCGCATCACAAGAAAGTAAATACTAAGACAAGGATGTGATTTGCTATCATGGCTGTGGAAATTGTCATGTGTACTGACTTTGATTATAGCTTGATTTGCTTGATGAAACAAGCATGCTATGTCTACACAACGTCGGATCTCATGGTCTTGCAGCTACATGAGTTTATTATACATATATTAATACATTGATCTCCTGTCTCCATGGAAACCATTTCATTGAAAGATAAAAAAAAAACATTGTCAAAATATTTATGAAGGTAAGAACGTATCAGCACAATGCTTTCTGCAACAAGGGGCTTGTTTGAGATCAAATAGGATGAAAGATAGGTCGCTCTTGTAGTGTACAGGAAATCTTTTGGAGATTTATGAAATTCAAAGTCAAGTGAGGTTCCATGGGTTAATACAGAGTAAACCTCTGGCACTGTAAGGATATATATACTTGTGTTTGAGTATATTAGTGTAGACATTTTAGGAGTTACATTTCTGTTACCATGGTTACGAGTGGTTAGGTTTCCAGTATTTGGAATTTCAAAAGAAATGTCTTGTTTTTACCAGGTCTCGATCTTGTTTCCTATACACCTGGGTGCCGTTGCACAAAACAACCCTAGTGCTACAACTGTCGTAACTCTATGGGAGTTACGATCACCTTAGCACTAAATCGCTCTGTACAACGGCACCTAGTATAAGTACTACAAGTAACAGACACATTTCACAATTTGAAATTCACACACATGCCATTGAACTGATGTGTTTCTTTTTTAGATGGGGGGGGGGGGGGGGGGGGGGGATGTCTGTAACAGCAATGTTTAGGCTACACTTGTTGAAAGTCTGTTCAACAATAGTCCTATTGCTAAGATTGCTTTGTGCAAGTAGACTCTTTTGAAAATGAGGTTTGAACATTCATATCAACGTGTTCATTCACATCTTAAGGGGTGGTGCAGTAGCCTAGTGTTCGCCTAGGTATGCCAAAGACCCGGGTTTGATTCCTCACATGGATACAAGGTGTGAAGCCCATACTGGTGTCCCCAGCCCTGATATCGCTGGAATATTCCTAAACGTGGCGTAGAACCATATTCACATCTTTGAGAATTTGTATCCCATTTGTCAATGAAATGTGCATGCCTAGCATGAATCACAAGTGTTTGCACTGAGTCGAGACAATGGAGAGCATTGATTCTTGAAGGAACTTCAGTTTGGTTGTTAGTTGTAGTTTCTTTGCTAATGAATGTGATGAGATCGCTGTACTGATGATTTATTGCATGGCATGTAAAAAGGCATTTCAAATTGAAAATATTTTCTTTTTGAGGAATGAAATATTTTTTATATTTACAACCAAAGCATACTCGTGTCAATCTTGTTACTATTTACTATCACTGAGGACAAGGGTGGCCAAGTCGTCTATGACACCTTTATTCACTATGTAGAGTTGTGTCCCTTGGTCATGCCTGGAACCTATAATCGTGGGTTCGAATCCCAAATTCACTCTGATTTGGTTTCCAGGTTTGTCAGTACCATACCTGTGCTCATGGGTTTCACCCCAGTTCTAAAAAAACTCAGACCTGCACAGCTTCAGTCTTTTCTCCCACATGAAGTGGGCGTGCTGACCGAAATACTGTTCAAAGTGGCATTAAACCAAACTTATTAACATCATGAACATGGTAGACATATAAATTGATAGGTTGTGATAGGGTTAACATTTCAAATTAGCGGTCTTCTCTACCCATTTATTTCTTATCTATGTATATCTCCAGTTTTGTTTTATTTGCCCTTGTGTTGAGCTTCTCCCCCTTATGGCGGTGTCGGGATCTTCAACTCGCCTGGGATGTTTTCATGTATTGGTGAAAGAATCCTTTTCATTCAACACTCTTATTTTGTTTAGTTTGAACGTTAAAGACAGGTTTAACATATGTTACAATGCTTGTGATGCACCCAATTGAAACAATTGAGGAAGGTTGAAGATAAGTAAGTGGGTTCTTATTACAAAACTCCTATTTGTGCTGTTGATGAGTACCCGTGGGTATTCAGGGTGGTCAGGCTCGGTGACTTGATTGGTGACGTGTCATCATACCCCGGCATGGATTGTTGCTCATAATATCAGTCACTTGATTGCCTGGTCATGATGTGATGGTTTACAGGCCACTCTCATATAGCTAGAATACTGCTGAGTGTGGCGTTAAACAACAAAGATGTACATATTGGCATTTGATTGCATGGATGACTGACCACCTTGAAAAACATATCTCATTTGTAACCTATTGAGGGGCAGTCGGATAGCCTAGTGGTTAAAGCATTCGCTCATCACGCTGAAGACCTGGGTTCGATTCCTCACATGGGTACAATGTGTGAAGCCCATTTCTTATGCCCCCCCTGATATTGCTGGAATATTGCTAAAAGCAGGGTAAAATCAAACTCATTCATTCATTCATGTTATCTATTGAAGGGGTACAGGTGCCCCAGTCATCTAAAGCACCTTGAGTTACATCCCTTATGCATGCCAGGAGCCTATGATCGTGGGCTCATATCCTGGTTTTGCCTGTTTATGTTTCTAGGTTTGTTAGCACCATACCCGTGTTCATGGACCTGGAACTCTTCAGGGTTTTCACCCACATCAAGCTGACATGCTGTGATATATGTGAAATACTATTCAAAGCAGCGTTAAGCTTTACCCACTCACTCACTAACTGTTACCTGTTGAGTGTGTGATTGTACCTGAACAGTGGATCGATGCTGACACTATCAACCACAGGGTTGTCTGTAATATTTCAGAATTACCTAATTCACCTGCACATGATTACTTATAGAAGGTGATAGTTTAATTTGTTTAAATTTATCCCCACATAGAGTAAGTGTTTGATGTGTGTAAGAGGTTATTCTGCTTGTAGATGGTTGTTAACTTCTAAGTGTTTCTGAGACCCCTGTTTCCATGTCGGTGTTTTTGTGTAGCTGAGTCAGATAGATGGCGCTGTCAAGGACTACTTGGAGCGCTGGTATGAGGTGGTGTTGGAATACCTGGCTCGATGTGTGGCCAAACTAGGATCAAACGTTCACTACCTTATATATGCGGTAAGTTTCAATGATGGCAAAATCTTAATCACCATATTTATTCTTATCGACTGCCTCTGTGGTCCAGTTGATAAAGTGTCTTCCTGGAGAGCAGAAGGTCTGTGCTTTGATACCCATCTGTGTCACACCAAAGAATGTTAAAACATGGTTCTTGTTGTTTCCTTGCCTGGTGCTCTGCATTAGGGGGATAAAACAAGGATTGGTTGGCTCTCAGTCAGTATACTGTGTCTGAGTGGGGTTATCATGTAAAGTGTGGCATGGTATCTCAATGGGCTGGCACTATAAAACTGTCACCAGTCCAGACTGTTTGAACTTGCTACATAAACATGTCTGTTATTATTATCCCCCGCCGCGCGAAAGCGCGAAGCGGGGGATATAGTATTCACGACCGTCCGTACGTCCGTCCGTCCGTCCATCCGTCCGTCCGTCCGTACGTCCCACCTGTTTGTTGCCGCGATATCTCAAGAACTAAACACTGGATTGTCTTCATATTTGGAACTATGGTGTATATACAGACTCCGCAGACACCAGTCGGTTTTGGTGACCTTGACCCCATTTTCAAGGTCACAGCAGGCATATCTGCTTTTGGAGTTGGAAAACGGTGTTGCCGCGATATCTCAAGAACTAAACACTGGATTGTCTTCATATTTGGAACTATGGTGTATATACAGACTCCGCAGACACCAGTCGGTTTTGGTGACCTTGACCCCATTGTCAAGGTCACAGCAGGCAAATCTGCTTTTGGAGTTAGAAAACGGTGTTGCCGCGATATCTCAAGAACTAATCGCTAGATTGTCTTCATATTTGGAACTATAGTGTATATACAGACACCGCATACACCTGTCAGATTTGGTGACCTTGACCCCATTTTCAAGGTCACAGCAGGCAAATCTGTTTTTGGAGTTGGAAAACGGTGTTGCCACAATATCTCAAGAACTAATCGCTGGATTGTCTTCATATTTGGTAGTATGGTGTACAGGCGGGGGATATTTCGTCACTCTGTGACAAATACTTGTTTATGTGGCATTAACGTTAAGGTTTTAAACTTGAATTAGGCAAACATCCATGTGGTACTCTTTAGACTTAGGTGACATTAGAGTGTACTTATCCCCATACACATGCTGTCATGAATTTCTTTTCTCTGAAGTAAAAAACTTGTTTACTTGCCAATATATTAACAAATATTGGCATGGGTGCTTATAAGAGCGGGGCGCTAATTATGGCAAATACAGTAGGAGCGATGTTTCAGTGTAGATTCTGACACCGTTTTCAAGTGATGACTTGCTTGATAACGGTGTTAGAACTTACACAAACGTCGCTCCTAATTGTAATAATGAAGTTGTTCATCCATAATTCTTATCCTTACTTGGTACTCCAACTTCTAAATGCCTCTCAAAGAAACTTACGACGACTGTTCATGTGTGATGTTGCAGGCTCTGTTGGATGCACAGCTACAGATGAAGGGCTTCACCCAGCAAGAGGAGGCAGATATCAACAAGTGGGTTGTGTGACACTTAGTTCCTATATCGAGATGAATATTAGTACATGTTGATTCTGTATTTGTAAGGAAAGTAAGTTGCAACAACCACAGGTATTAACTATGAACTGCATTGTCAGAACCCCAAGAGATTTACTAACATGTAAAGGCGGTACAGTGCTTCAGACTGTTCAAGAGCCGTGGGTCATTGACATCTGAAAAAACAATAGCCCTCCTAATGAGCAGTATGGGTGCAATGGTGCTTTATTCCTTACCCCTGGTCCAGCATTTTCACATGGACCCATGAAGATCCGGGGTAGAATAGGTCTTCAGCAACCCATGCTTGCAGTAATAGGTGACTATGCTTGTTGTAAGAGGCGACTAACGGGATCGGATGGTCAGGCTCGCTGACTTGGCTGATGCATGTCATCGTATCCCTATTGCGTGGATCGATGCTGATGATGTCAATCACTGGATTGACTGTTCCAGACTCGAATATTTACAGACCGCCGTCATATAGCTGGAATATTGCTGGGTGCAGTGTTAAACAACATGAAACTGAAATTGAAACTGAATGTCGTAGTGTATTTCACTATTGGCAAAGATGTCAAGTGATCATAATAAGTGTTGGAACCTACACTACCTTCCTCTGCAGGTTTGTGAAGTGCTGCAGCTTGTCGTCTCTCGTCCAGCAGCTTCAGGCGGAGGAGACCCCGGGGAAAAGTGATGGGGATCTCCTCCTGAACCTCGACACCACCATCACCTCACTTCAGTCTGTCACGGCAGTACTCACAGCTAAGGACAACACCTTCATGTTTGAAGTTGATAGTAAGAGGAGCTTTTCTTACAGGAAATCTAATCAGGCCAAACTGTGTTGGGTATTTGTCTTTCTAGTTCACCCTCAACAGTGTGAGGAACAGAATATAACAGCTACTCAGTGTCACACGCATCTCAGGGGGGTTGGTTAGCTTAGTGGTTAAAGCGTTTGCTCGTCACGCCGAAGACCCGGGTTCGATTCCCGACATGGGTAAAATGTGTGAAGCCCATTTCTGGTGTCCCCCGCAATGATATTGCTGGAATATTGCTAAAAGCGGTGTAAAACCATACTTTAACCACTTTAACCACTAGGCTACCCGACCACCCCTCTTGTGATGGAGCTTCTATGCACATATATAAGGGTATTTCTTCCAATGTATGTATGAATGTCATGTATACAGGCACTGGACTGTTATATATTCCATGGCAGATTCTGTTGACACTCATTGCTGGCAGGAGACCTTACAAAATACTGATTATTGGCTGGGTATTGGCCGACCTCATTTTCTATCCCACAGATTATACCCTGAAGAGTTTACCCCATACATACCAGAATAATCTGATGAGACATAACATTTATCGTTACCCTGAAATTATGTCTGATATATTCTTGTGCTGATCAGGAGCTTCCTGTTATGTAATTTGCGTTTTTGTGTTCGGGGGTATGTCAAGCATGTTTTTATGACAACATATTTCTTGATTAAATAGTTAAATGATACATGTTCATAAGGTCTTATTCTGAAAGTAATAACTAAACCTGTTTCAGATTTCTCGTCAACCTGTCAGTTCTGCAAGATGGCAACAGAGCACCTGATGTCCGGAGACCCCAAGAACGTGACGAAGATCAAGGAAACCCTGGAGTCAGTGAAGCTGGCGGTGAGTGGGAGATACACGTGTTTATCCACCATGTTCCCTCACCTGCTTCCTGTTCTCAGCAGCCCCATGGGGACCTGGGTGGGAGTAGGTTCCCAACACTATTGCATGTTGTAGGAGACGACACAAGTGGATCTGTGACCTGTGCAGGTTGTATGGTGAACAGGGTTGTGGGATGGAAGGATTAGAAGGTCTTTGGTTTTGTCAATTGCTGTTTAAACATCACTCCACTGAACTTATCGCTGCTTAAAGGCAGGCCTCAAAGTTTAAGTTTTTCCCAAGGAGTCATTGGCTCCGAACAATTGTTTGCAGGGAGCCAATGTGAAATTCAAGGAGTTATGTGAAAACTCAAGGAGTCAAACTTCAAGAATATAGTCAGTAATGTGTTATACTGTTGAAGCATATCTAATCTGTCCTGACTGATTCCGTCCTTTAGTGTAACATGCTTTGTTGTTGAGTACGTTGTTGTAAGAACAAGATTGTCAATTAATTTTTAACCTCACAATTCCCATCATGATTTCTAGATTTTCTAAGATGAAATTTTAGTTCAGTCAGTCAGTATTTATAAATGTATTGTATTTCGGTCACTAATATTATGCAGTTAGTGATATCAGTCGCCGACTTGATTTTTTAGAAGTAGCCAAGTGGCGACTGCTTACCGGTAAATAATATTGATCGCCAAGAGGAAATTTCATCTGCCATGGCGACCAAATCAGTTGCAACTTTGTGGCCTGACAGGGCATTCTCATACCGGAGACAACGACCGGTACCGTTCATGGCAGTGATGGTGAATCATGCAAATGAGTTTGACCCAACAATATCTCCGAGTCATGTTATTTTAGGCCAATCACCAAGACCAGAAACAATACTTTTCTTTGGGCGATATCAGCAGGAGGTAGTCTAGCCCAAACTCCAATACTTACTGGCTGTTGTGTTATAGCTCAACTATTGAGCACTGCGGTGTAGAAACACAACACAAATAGAGAAACACCTTCGTACGATCCCTCACTACTAACATTGTACCATACGAGGATGAATGCAAAAACTACATAAAGTAAACTACCTTTATAATGAACACTCTTATAACGAACTGACCGATACAACGAACTTGTTTTCTAGTCCCGGCTATTTGTTGTATATATCCTGTATATACGCTTATAACGAACTACGGTTATTACGAACTAAAATTAGTGGTCCTTTGAGTTGTTATAAGCGTAGTTTACTGTATCAGCATTGTGGAAACATGTTGACAAACATTTTTGATTACCTGCCCCTTGCTAAGCATGCTAACAAGTCAGTACTAACTACAGCATATACAGATTACATGTCGGCTGAATATACAGTGATGTTCATACACCTGTTGCTGATGTCATAGTGAGTGAGTGAATGAGTGAGTGAGTATGGTTTTACACCACTTTTAGCAATATTCCGGCAATATCACGGTGAGGGACACCAGAAATGGGCTTCACACATTGTACCCATGTTGGGAATCGAACCTGGGTCTTCTGCGTGACGTGCCAACGCTTTAACCACTAGGCTACCCCAATGATGGTGTCATACAATATGGTTTGTATTAAAGTGCATGTAAAGTGTTGATATGTTTTATTGGTTTATAATTCTCAGTTGTTTTTTGCTGCAGTTCATTCACAATTTGAACAAACTGAAGAGATTCTTGAGGCAGGCAGAAACTGACCATTATGCTTTGTTCAGGTAAGTCGCTGCCCAGACAATCATAAATTATTGTTTACCCTGATACACCTTCTGCAAATTCCCCTTCTTTGATCCCTTAACACGGAACCCAAAGGTGCCGCTCCACCAGATCACTGATACAATTACCTCCCTTTGAACCCTCACTTTCCTTCTCATCGAGCTTCAACAACACGTGTTTGCGAAGCTGATTTGTTTTCCTTTAACATTGGACTCAGAGAGGTGGTAAGGGTTTAAGGGAGGTAACTCTGGTGATCTGCTGGAGACACACCCAAGCAGAGACGAACGATTTGGTTTTGGTTCTGTGTTATGTGATCGAAGAGAGAGGGAATTTGTAGAGTTTCAATCGGGATAAGTAAACTAATATACTAAATACCTTAATACTATTTTGTCCAAATGAGGTGTTTAATGTGCCAGTTATAGTTTGACTTGTTCTTATTACAGATCTCTAATCTATCTAAAGAAGAGCGGGGCGGGTGACCTGTTGCTCCGGTACGTCCACCTGGACGCCAGCCCTGATACTCTTAATGTACTCACAGTGCTACAGGATTTCATCAAGAGTAAAGGACAGGCTCTGGTCTGAATCTAGTCTGTTTCAACATGATTCAGCCCTAGCATGATATTCATAAGAAGCCAATTCTTTCTCAATCAACAGTAACCATGTTTTCTGTGCATCTAGGAATATACGAGTACCTTGGTAATTCTTTTGCTGAGTCAGTTTATGACTTTGTGTTCTTGTTGAATTCACTGAAGAGTTAAATCTTTTATACAGTGAAACCCTGTTTACCAGATCATACTCTTCTAAGGGAAATATCCAGATTAACAAAATTCTGGATCAACAAGATCTTGGATTCATGTCCCTGGTTTTACAACCCAACAGTAGTCGTTCAGAAAACAGTTTCCAGATTAAAGTGGTCCGCACTTCTCTGGTTTCTCTGTATATGACCAATCTCCAGATAAGAGAGCATGTATCATCAAATTAAACTTGAAGCAAGTCATGACTTGGGGGCTTGTTGTCTTACAGAAATGTTGTGTTTGTTTAGCTGGTATTAACAGATTACAGTGAAATCGCTGTAATTTTGTTGACAGCGGCAGTAAACATCAGCCACTGTCATCGCAGATCGTGTGTTGACAGAGGCAGTAAACACCAGCCACTGTCATCACAGATCGTGTGTTGACAGGGGAAGTAAACATCAGCCACTGTCATCACAGATCGTGTGTTGACAGCAGAAGTAAACATCAGCCACTGTCATTACAGATCGTGTGTTGACAGCGGCAGTAAACATCAGCCACTGTCATCACAGATCGTGTGTTGACAGCGGCAGTAAACATCAGCCACCGTCATCACAGATCGTGTGTTGACAGCGGCAGTAAACATCAGCCACCGTCATCACAGATCTTATGTTGACAGCGGCAGTAAACATCAGCCACTGTCATCACAGATCGTGTGTTGACAGTGGCAGTAAACATCAGCCACCATCATCACAGATCGTGTTGACAGCGGCAGTAAACATCAGCCACTGTCATCACAGATCTTATAATGACAGCGGCAGTAAACATCAGCCACCGTCATCACAGATCGTGTGTTGACAGAGGCAGTAAACACCAGCCACTGTCATCACAGATCGTGTGTTGACAGCGGAAGTAAACATCAGCCACCGTCATCACAGATTGTGTGTTGACAGGGGCAGTAAACATCAGCTTCTGTCATCACAGATCGTGTGTTGACAGCGGCAGTAAACATCAGCCACCGTCATCACAGATCGTGTGTTGACAGTGGCAGTAAACATCAGCCACCGTCATCACAGATTGTGTGTTGACAGCGGCAGTAAACATTAGGCCACTGTCATCACAGATCTTATGTTGACAGCGGCAGTAAACATCAGCCACTGTCATCACAGATTGTGTGTTGACAGTGGCAGTAAACATCAGCCACCATCATCACAGATCGTGTTGACAGCGGCAGTAAACATCAGCCACCGTCATCACAGATCTTATGTTGACAGCGGCAGTAAACATCAGCCACTGTCATCACAGATCGTGTGTTGACAGTGGCAGTAAACATCAGCCACCATCATCACAGATCGTGTTGACAGCGGCAGTAAACATCAGCCACTGTCATCACAGATCGTGTGTTGACTTGCTCACTTCAGAGTCAGGACACCTCTACATATAGGACCAACTTTACACAAGGGCCTCTTCCAGTCTAACCATGTGTCAAACGTCATGTAATCACCGACATATGCCAGAAATGTTGTGCAGGTATCACAGTTTGTCAAACAAACTTCCATGTGCAATATATAATGTCCAGATTTTGTCACTGTTGCATCCCACTGATGACAAATCATGTAAAATGTTCTTGTTGATCTTACATGATCTCACTTGTTCACCACTGATGCCAGTCATGGCCCAGAGCCTGTAGAAGCAGGGATGGAAATTAACCAAGAATGTCTACTTGCCCAAATATTGACAACATATGGCAGTACCCCTCCAAAATGTTTGAAATTCTACCAGCCCTTAAGATACCTTTAACATTAACAAAACTGGTCCCATCTTCCCGAGGCAAGAGAGTTAACTGACTATAAAAGTCCAGTTTCCACCCTTGCCGAACTAGGCTTGTATTATGGAGTTACATTTGGCTGGACTTACAAGTCTATGCACAGTCCAATCAAAATCGTGCACCGAAATTGAAATCCGGTTCGTAAACTGTCATGCAGATTTCGGTCGAATGCAGGATTTGCAAAACATGTGTCCGCCAACTCGTCAGCAGATATTTTCCAAATCTTTTCATGTTTTTAATCAAGGTGCTCACGCGATTTGATGCATTTCGCGATTTTAAGACCCGTTTTATCCCAATATAGATCTTGATTATCGATCAGATTGTCCTGACTGGGCGCCACCATTTTGTGTGAAGCAAACGCAAGTGATACGAGAGGTGGAATCTGATTGGTCCATAGGGGAGGCTTAGAAGGGACATAACTGGTAATAGCCACTGGTGGCGCTACGATCAAGCCCAGTAATTCCAGCCCAGTTCGGCAAGGGTGAAAACTGGACTTTTAAAGTCAGTTAACTCTCTTGCCTCGGGAAGATGAACTGGTCAAGGCTAGAGGCCTAGTGCTTGTCTCCATCCCTGCTACTGTTACGTTTCACTTAATACTTACATGAATTCGGGAGCATCAATTTACTTGGGGGTGTGGTGGGACAAAAAATGGCGTGTTTGTTTTGTGGAAAGTACCCAAATTGCAAATTTGTTGTGTTTGTTGGATACAGATGAGATAAAAAATGTTTTCACACAAAGTTCCCACAGACCCCCCTGTAAATGGAATGGATGCTCCCTTAGTCTTTCCTTATTAGAAATGAAGAATGAAGTTCATTTAGCAATTGATTAGATTAAACATGTCTTTTAAAAAATGTATAAAAAAATAAAATAATTGTAACAATTCATTTTAATGTTAACATTGTGACTGCTACGATCGTACTAGAATGGCCAGAATAACAGATGATAGTACACACTTTCTGTAAATATCACATGCTATGTTAACTTATTGCTGTGATAATGCTCATATCATATTGTTACTTGTATATATTGTTTTCTGAGCAAATGTTACACTTCAACTTGTTACTGTTATAAGAATTGGGAACAAGAACATCAACAGTCCACTGCCAAAGTTTCCCAATGTGAGTCAAACACTGTGCTTAGATTGCATGGGTTTCATGTAGTCCACTGAATCAGGTGTTGTCCAAGCTTTATTTGAGCTGGATATACTGCTCATACACCAGAGAGAACTGGGATAGAAGTGCATGGTATATTGCAGCTACACGTCTCGGGATCCTAGTGTCAGTGTGGAGTGCTGTATTGTTAATGTAGCTGGAATATTGCTGAGTGCAGCGTTAACCTACTAACAAACAATTATGTATTGTTAACTGCCGTCATATAGATGGAATAGTGCTTACTGCGGCGTTAAACTACAAACAAAAAATTATGTCTTGTTGGGAGAGAACTTATCCTCTTCCAATGGACTGTAAGAGCCATGCAGTGATAAATATGAAACGATTGAAGTTGATGATACATGATATTACTGCTACAAGAAAATGGCTACATAACAGTGATGCGGGATCAGAGGTCAGACTTGCTGACTTGGTTGATGCATGTCATCGTATTCCAGTTGTGTAGAACGATGCTCATGATGTCAATCACTGGATTATTTATAGACCGCAGTCATATGGCTGAATATTGCTGAGTGTCGGGTTAACTACAAACAAAATAACAGCTAGAAGAAAATTAATCTCTGTAGACCAAAATACAAGTGAATACAAGTCATGTGACTCTTGTAATATTTTACATTTCAGTAACAGTGTAATATGTAAAGTATGTATATATACATCGGAGATCAATAAATCAGTGTTGTATTTTAATTTTCTTTTCTTTATCATGTCTGCCCCAAAGGTCTGTGTGAACTTTTGTGGAGGAATCCGCAATATTCAACTGATGGTGTTTACAGCTAACATTTACCAAACCTCAAGAGTAATGGAGCTCAGTGCATAATGAATAACGAAACAAACATAACTAACCCAGAGGTCAGGTGACAATGGCATTTCATGTCCTGTCCCAGATGCAGGTCCAGACATCCAGCAAAGATACATCACTAATAAGGCTGACATACAACAGATCTGTGGAATGTGTGTGTGCCACACCTCCTCATGGCCTGCCTCCATTGAACGATGGCAACGTAAGTTATTTCCCACCTGACTTCATATGGCACTGTAAACTTTTCTGAAACTGCGGACCTGAACTTGTATGTATACTCAACAACAAGAGTTCCTGTGACGCCAATATTTTAGTGTATTTTTCAAACAAATAAAGTTTGTTTTTCAATATTGTAGTACATGTATGGAATCAAGTCACAAAAACACAACTGCTACAGAAAAGCATGCATTCCATGCAAAAGTTGACTTTTATGCAAGCCCCATGCATTTCACTACCCAAGAATTGGTATAAAAACATGTGCGTTAACAGGATTCCATATGCATTGTTTAGTATCGTGCCGACAACAACCACTCAGAAAAACAACAAAATTACGCAATTATTCAATATTACGAAATGCCACGCATGTCTGAAAGTGAGCGTCTGCGAGCCATTGGTGACTGCAAGAAGCATCCCTGGCCTTCGACGAATATCTTCACAAACCGTAGGTCGTCGCCTCAGATGTGCAGGGATTGTCGACAGAAGACCCGCCAGACGTCCCATTTTGACAGGAAACCACCGTCAAGCACGTCTACAGTGGTGCAGTCAGCGTCTACGCTGGACGGCCATGCAGTGGGAACAAGTTCTATTCACTGACGAGTCTCGTTTTCACCTCGGCCACAGCGATGGACGGATTCGGGTGTACCGACATCGAGGTGAACGTTACGTCAATCATGGTGTCATGGAAGAAAATCGGTTCGGGGTCGGCAGCGTTATGGTATGGGGTGGGATTACAGCAAGACAGAGGACCTGTTTAATATAGTGGTAGAGGGAAATCTCAATGGACAGCGCCACCGCGACGAGATCATCGGCCCTGTTCTATCGTTCGGCGCCTTCGACGTCAACCACGTGTTCCACAGACACTCCAGGAACTTCGAAACATGCTCCAGCAGATATGGACAGATATCCCACAGGACTTTGTGCGACGCCTGGTCCATTCCATGAGACGAAGATGTGTTGCTTGCATCGTAACCAGAGGTGGACATACGCTATTGATTTGTAAATTGACATTTTGGCATGTTCATTTTTTTTAATGAAATCACGCATTTTCTGAAGTCAGTATGGCAAATTAAACCATTTGAACACTTACAGGAGCCTTTTATCTGTTGCAAACCGAAATTGTTTCAGATTTGGTAAAACACATAACTTTGCATTAAATCTTATTCAATGTCACAGGAACTTTTGTTGTTCAGTATATATTTCTCCTTATGATAGCATATTCTCATTCAAGTAGGTATAGGAACAGCCAACGTCTTCAACAAAGGCAGTCGGCAGTCGACAACAACATAAGTGTGAGCATATTTATTAAATGGAGGATTATTAATTTATGAAACCGTTATGAAATGATACTTATTACCGATACCCACATTAGCTGGATAATGGATTTGAAATGGCAAGGAAGGATTCACCAAGTGAAACAGGGAAACAAAATGTCAGCAATGCCTATGGTCTCCTCTACGTTGGGTGCATTCTGTACAGTCTGTATTTTAGAGCTGCCTAATGGACGGCTTGCCACTGGGGACACTGAATGAGCTGATTTACAGGAGGTGGGAGATAAGTACGAAACCCTCGACCAAGGACGTCCTAAGGATGCTCTATCGGTGCAAGATCCGGGGAGTAAGCTGACCTCTGCATCCTGACAATCCCATTTGTTTTTTGACAAGGTGGGGTCTGGCATTTTCATCTTGGAGTGTAATATCAGGTCCAATAACATTCAAACCAGGAAGGACAAGTGGCCGAAGAATTTCGTGTCCGTACCGTAATCCTGATAGATTTCCTTTGACGTTATACTGAGGGGTTCAGTGATGAGGGGTTCGGTGATGAAGGCTGAAGCCACTCCATACCATAACCGACACACCACAAGCCGGCCCCTTTCTCGTTTGGTTTAATACAACACTGAAGCTAGTCCTGTACCATGACCGTGGAATAAATTTATTTTATTAAAAAAAATAATCTAGAAATGCATACAAAAGCAAGTCTAGCCAGCTCAAGCTAGCTCTATTCCACATTCTGATATCAGCATAGGGAATGTTTATTTTATTTTTAGAGTCAAGGAGGATATTGTGTAATATAAGATTTCAGAGACTAAATGTTAGTCTACACTGAAGCGTTCACATAGACGTCTAAAGACTCGAATCCTACCATCTTGAACTGGAGGCTGAAGCGACAGTCGTCAGTAAACAATTGCGACCACTGCTGTCGATTCCAATGACTGTGAACCCAGCACTGGCAGCATACCGAGGGAACCAGGCTGTGTCAGGGTCACCTACTTCCAGAGCATACACAATGCAGTGAGGAGTCCAATTCGGTTAGACTTTGAACAAAGAAGCCACGCTTCATCACTGACTTAATGCGTAGTGGGGACAAAACCAGAAATATGCTAGTATCGTAAAGCAAAAGCACAATGTTCTGTAATGACTTATATTAGGTAGGGATTGCATGGGTTAAGATTATGAAATGGTCGCAGACAAATACTTACTCAGCCCTCGAAGTTCACACTAGTCCGGTAGCCAGAGTCTACTTGTACTGAGGACAAGTGAAAATTAAATGATTGACTAGTAGCATTTGAGGGCTATAATTCTGAACCATTTTTCAATGCTAATATTACTACAAAAACTGGAATGAGTGCAGGAAATTTTGACCCAAATTTGAGTGAAAATGGTCCTAAATTTTAGAGAAAAAACAAATGGATCCATTAATTAATTAATCACTACGACTTTGTGTTGGGGGGGGGGGGGGGGGATTTGTATCACTTGTCCCCAACTTGATTCAAATAAAACTGTTTCCTATAAAAAATCTTCCTGCCCCTTAGAAGTATTCCCGCCACTATTCCAGGGTGAAGGTCGATATTTCAGAGCCAATCAAATCGGGTAACGTTACCCGGAAGTATACGTGTTTATACAATCATGTGTAGTAATGGTTAGTTAATGACCGAGACCCGCTGGCGTACACAGTGAAAAACATTCCCACATCACAAATCAGCGATCCACCATGGACATCTCACAGTTCGTCCAGATTCTATGGCTCTTTCCTGTTTTATACTTATTTGATTCGACAAGTGTAGCTGCTGGTGACGAAACAGACACTGATTTCGACTGGGATGTTGATTTTGACAGCTTTTTAGAATCTATTGACTCAATGGCTGACATGGTAACGGATTATGTCGGAGATGAAACCGGTTGTCACTACCGCTGTAAAAATGGTAAGCGTACAGTTAAAATGTTTGTTGTGTATGTATGTTACTGCCACGGACATCATACGGCTAAATCGTGCAGTCAGCGTAAGGGAGGTAACTCTAATTCCTGGACGCTTTTACATTGAGTTTGATGTGGTGCACACAAGAAAGAATATATTTCGGTTTTTGCATTACTAAATTCCCCTTTGGGGGAAAAGGCTAAATAATATTTCTTTGAAACAGAAAACGTGTGTGAATTGATTATTGCGATATACTTGATATTTTAGATAATGGCTTGAATATTTAAATCAGGATTTTATAGCGTTAATGATTATTAACGGGCTAATCCATTTGTAGGGAAAGATTATTTCAGTTTGTAATATTGTTTTAAATATTTGTATTTTTACTACGAGGGACATCTCCGTATGTTATATGCATGAAGAGCGCTACAGGAATGTTTTATTTTTATTTAATTTGAGCATTCATTATCTATTATGTTTAGCATCCGATCATCTCATTTAAAACAGTGTATATTTCATAGTCTGTTTCATTGCCAGTTGATATTATACATATATAATCACGTCACATGATAATTATGTAGTTTATTTCTAGGGGCGACACCAAAGAAAAACAAGAAACACAAGCCAAGAACAAACGGATGTGGTTCCTTCGGTCTTGAGGTAGGCTTGAACATGATCACCTAGCCTGGCACACGTTTCTTAGAAAATGATTATTATTTTAAATCATAGTTAATAGATAATAATAATAACCACAACAACAACAATAATCATTGTCCCAAAAAAGACTGGCTACTGTCGCTAGGCTTGTCAAGACTAGGATAGAATTACTATAGACACGTGGACGTACCACTCAGTACATGCTTTGAGCAAGGCTATAAATGATTACCCTGCCAACATGTTATTATAGCTACCGTGACGGAACATAAATACTCGTCTTGAGGCACTTAATGTAATACCTCTTGATGTCTGTACTCTAAAAGTGAAGCCGTCATCATGTTCATATTTACCATCACAAGTCATACACAGAAAATAGTCACATATTAAAGATTATTTATGAATAACTATAAGAAAATCGGCAATACATTTTGCGCCAAGGGTACATGTTGACATCGTTGTAAGTTTGTGCGTGCTCTCAAAATAAATTTACAAACAAAATTGAAAATGCTGTAGTTTTAAGAGAACAATTTTACTGCCCAAATGCCAGATTTTATGACATTTTGTCCTCGATGAAATTTTTCTTCATTGATGTTACATCAATGGCGATTACGCTAATTACACCAGTGTCCCATGACTGTACTGTTGAGACCACTTCCTGGTCTTCATAACTTGACGTAACGACGCCTACCCTGCATGTACATTCTCACACCGCTGGTCATAATCTTGCCTCAGGAAAGTTTGGCCTTTGGCTGTAATTAAATACATTCGGGCACAGCACCCATGGTAATGTCATATGTAAATGTGACAACGTTCTACCCTTTCCTGTTCGTGTATAAAATAATGTGGCCGATACAAATTGATGACTATTATATATAATGATAATTCTGGGCGTAGCCTGCTTCTTCGAGTTTTATGTGTGTCTTTTTAAGAAGAGTACTACATTGTATTTCTGAATTGGTGGTTGTTTTTTTTATCCATGATCAAAGTGCTTCATGTCGACGGCGGTTACTGGCTCATTTATAAACCTATGTCTACAATGATCTCAATGAAATTACGAGATTTACAATGACAGTATAATTAATGAATTTATACTATCATAATGAATTAGTGGCGGAGTGATGATCGTGACATGAAAATATCTCAACCGCGTGGCCATGAAAAATAATCACGTATGAAATAGTGTATACATCTCTTGCACTTATATATTAATCTTTCTTTTTTTTATAGTTTTTCACACCCACGTTTTCATCAAAACGTGCTCTGAAAACAGGGACCGTATTTAATATGGTGTCTAATGCGCCTTGCTGTGATTCTTTGCTTTTGTTAAGTTTAATGTTATAACAACATTTTCGAGATACCACAAGATGAGTATCTCTTTTTGTAGACACAAGGTTTCACAGCAGGGTGTAGTAGTGTTTATGTCGGTGTGGATGCAAGGCCGCTGTATATCAGCCTACACCGCACATGGTATACGAGAGCGTCGTCCTGTTCAGTTGAATATAGATGATTATCAGCCTCAAACTACATTCTGGAGTTATTTCGATCAAGATTACAAGTATAATCTACCCACTGGTTAGAAGTTTCCCCCGTTGCCCCGCGATGGGGGAGAAGTTATGCATCTAAATTTGAATGATTATTTAAAGTTCCAGTGTATATGTTAAATATGGTAATACAGTAACAATAAAGAAGGGAAGCACGGGTTTGGTGTGAAATTCAGATATACCCCCCCCCCCCCCCCCCCCCCACCCACACACACAAGAAAAAAAAAATCAAAAACATTCGACTGTTTGTCCGATCACGGACTTGTATAACGGTTATATAGGTCCGAGGTCCGGCTGTGCGGAACACAGATACTAAGCGTAACATTCAGTTCATGCACATGTTACAGCTTAAGTTCTAAACAAATCTGCAGTATGTCAATGGGTGTCATTGTTTCCGTCAGAATTTAAGAATTGACTTAAATATTTTTTGCGTTTATGAAGGTATGGACGTAAAATCCCTTATGCAGATTGTACGCGGATTTGCGCAAAGTGTTCACATGCATCGGTTTCTACGTTTTTACCCCCATAACCGCAAATACATTCAATTCTCATAAATAAATACGTCAACCACAATAACAATAACCACAGAATGTTTATTTAATAATTAACACAATAATAACCGCAATAATACAACATAAGCCCCGCTCATCAGCCAATCGGGAAACAGAAGTCCGTGCAGTAGTATTGCTTGTTAATATTATTAATACTTACTTGAAGGAAACGGTTCGAACCTGGCTTGGACCACTTACGGTAATTGGACTGTGTGTCTATACCATAATGTTTTCACCAAGCACGAGCAGGCAACTGTTTGATATTATCAATTTCCTACTCTGTAAAGAGCGAACATTTACGATTATATTAACTGAGTAAAGGCTATTGAAGATACGACCTGGAGATTTTATCAAACATAGCATGACTTTGTAGATTTTGTTGTTTAGCATAAGAAAATAAAGTGAGTGTTAGCTTGTTCGCGACTGTATGAGTGGTCTTGTGCAGTTTGAGTTTGAGATAGGCCTAGGGCATGTTGGGAAACTCACCAAAACCACTACTAATACAACTTGTGAACCAAATGTTGTTCTCCATATTGACATTTCGCCACATTTTCACCATGGAAACACGGATAGCCCAGTCGTCGCAAATCGCTAGGCAAAGTTACGTCTCTTAGGCGTGCCAGAAACCAATCCTCGTGGATTCGATTGTTTCTAGGTTTGTCAGCGACGTTTAACCCAACTCACTCACTCACTCACTCACTCACACTAATTTGACAAGTGTTGTGTTCTTAGCTGGACACAAGCGCCATACCCGCGGTGACGAAGTGTTGCGACCAACACGACTACTGCTACGACACGTGTAACAGCGACAAGGTCAAGTGTGACGACGACTTCAAGGACTGTCTCAATCTCGTCTGTGATAAGTTGGGGGGAATAGCGAGCGAAGATCTCACCGGAGGTATGTTGGTCCAGTTTTGCAATCATTCGTCACCACTCGCCCCTTTCCGTAACAGCTATTCGGCTTGTCCCGGAATAACACGAGTTAGTCACGAATGGTTTTGCAATTTGTTTATTGTATTCATCTTTTTGTATTGATTGACATTTGTGATTTTGAAGACTAGGGGTCCTGGGTTAGAATATAATTGCCGAGCTAGCTATGGTTGTCGTAAGATGCGACAATGGATCGGATGCTCAGATAAGGCGACTTGGCTGGCATCTACCCCGACAGCGTGGGACGTTCTTCACAATATCAATCTCTGGATTGCCTGGTTTAGTATCGATAATTTACAGGCCGTCGTCATATGATCTCATAAATGTTGCTTTGGGTGTTGCAGTGTATCATTTTGGGAGGTAAATTCAATAACGTGTATATATTTTCATTTTCAAAGGAGGAAGTGTTGGTTTAAGGTCCTGTCTTGGTAGTGGTGGTGTCAAAATTGAAATGTTCAAATGCATAAATCAATTGTGTAGGGAAATTCAGTATAAGATGTGTATATAATATATATCCACGTTGTCTCCAGGCCTTATAGGGCGTTGGGGTAGCCTAGTGGTTAAAGCGTTCGCTCGTCACGCTGAAGACCCGGGTTGATTCCCGACATGGGTACATTCCTCGTGTCCCCCGCCGTGATATTGCTGGAACATTGCTAAAGCGGCGTAAAATCATACTCACCTACTCCAGGCCTTATACAATATCTTTGTTGTAAGTGATTTTGATAGTTTGCTTGTTTAACCTGTTTTTATCAAACTTAAATAGCATCACTATGTAGACACAGTCCTGTTATTTAGGACCTCCTTCCTGGTCTAGTGGATAGAGCGTCTGTTCGGAGAGCGGAAAGTCGGTTGCTCGATCCCCGACCGCGTCATTTCAAAAGACGTTAAAAGATGGTACTTGTTACCCTGCCTGACGTTCGGCATTAAGGGGCTAAAGCTGGGACTTGTCGTCTTGGAGTCTGTATATAGTGTTTTTTTGGGGTATTCATGTTAGACTGCGGCATGTTATCTCAGCGGGCTATGAAAAGGCATAAGTCACGTGTACAAGCAGCCACACACACACTTGCATGCACGTCGCCATATAAATGCAACTATCTTGAACGCGACGTTATGTAACTGGGATTAATTTAGGGATAGATAAATGTATAATTCATCATTTTAATCTGATTTCAGGTTTTAGTGATTCGGCAGACGACGATTGGTTTATATATATACAAGTTGCAATTAGTTGTCAGTCAGTCTGTTCTTGCTTTTATGTTTACTGCACAGTTCTGTGTCACAGGGCTGGTCACATTTTAGGTATAATGGTATTTGGGTTGTTCTATTTTTCATGTCATTGATTTTGGTGTCGTATCAATAGCCCAGGCCTTGCTTGTCACCCTATGAATCTCACCTTCACGTCACCTTTCATTTGGATTATCATGTTCCAGGTTGTCGGTCCACGGCCGATCTCATGTACGCCAGCACACTGACGTTAGGATGCAAGCCATACAAAGACTCACAGAAAGACGCCTGTGTTTGTCAACACGATGAGTTGTGAGGACAACAGCACAGCATGGTGGTGGAATGGCATTTTAGGGGAATAGTATGGTGACGGAAGTGTGGTTTTGTATGTATGTATGTATGTATGTACCTGTGTGTGTGTGTGTGTGTGTGTGTGTGTGTGCGTGTGCGCGCTTTAGATGTTTGAAGGGAAGAAGACGATCGACATATGTATTCATGACAACTGTTTCTGAGACATCGAACATGTGACTGTGGCGTCGATGGTATGGTTTCCAATCCTTGCCTGGAAGGATGATTGTGCAAACCATTTAAGCAAAGAAAGTAACACAGCAGCAGAACGCAAACTTCTGATGAAAACCTCGTTGTCATAACAGTAAACATATGAGGCTGTGATTGTTGTGTCCCATATGAAAATAACTTTGCCAAGAGCCCCCGCCATGTACACGAGGAGCCTCTGTATGGTGGAAAATGTATAAATGTAAAGAAGATTAAGCGAACTTGTACTTGATGTGTGATGACGATGTTGCGGCAGTTTAGGCTGCACAGTATCTCATGATTCTTGTTTTCATTTGTGCATATCTATATTCCCGGGCAACATTTTTCGCATTAGTCCCCACTCGCCACTTTCCGTAACCTGCAAGAAGACTTGTCCCGGAATAACACAAGTTGGTCACGAATGCATTTTTCGTTCTTTTTCATCATTTGCGTAAAATAGATGTTCATGCACACATGATATTGTTCTGATACCGCCCTGTTCACAAACCCTCTGTTCTAATTGGTTGGTTACTCCTGCGCCCTAAAGTTGCGCATTTGTATCCTTATTCAGTGGCTTATCTGTTCGTGAAAAGGGATGTGGATTATTGCTGAGCCACATATTTATTTATTGCATGCATAATAGTAATAATATAAACAGACTCTGTCAGAAAAGGAACAATTTTTATATTTGTTGAAGTTGTCGACAAATAAAATCAACAATCTTGATTTAAAAATAGGTATTGTATATTTCAAAGTGTTTATTATTGACAAAACTGGTACGTGACTTGATGCGCGTCAGAACTGCAACCAAATATTCTCATCTTAGCCATGGGTGACTGTTCGTGTCATTACCATAATGATTTTACCAATTTCATTTGTGGTCGCGCGACAGTGATTATCTCTTTCAGGGATCATAGTTTAACTTCCTCCCTTTGGGTACAGTGGAGATACACTGGTTAATTGAAGGTCACACAAGTTTCACTTTACGTAAAAGTGCAAGGCAAATGCCGATGGATCCCAACAAACGTCGAGACATCCACTTTCAAAGTGAACATGTAAAAGATGGCTTTTGTATAACGCACCGTTTCCATCTGACTTTGATGTAACAAACTCTTTCTTGTCGAGACGGCTGATATGATACATTTTATCTGGAGGGTCAAGAAGACATACCCCCACTTATATGTCAACAAGAATTGTGTGAGCTGGGGTATTTTTCTTGACTACAATAGCAAATTTGCAAGAGACGGGTATAAGATATTTTTGTTTGATATTTAAAGTAATAAGAATACTGACCTTACGGGAAGAACGGTACAAAGGATCTGCTGTGGCTCAGTAGTGAGTGAGTATGGTTTTACGCCGCTCTTAGCAATATTCCAGCAAGATCATGGCGGGGGACACCAGAAATGGGCTTCAAACATTGTACCTATGTGGGGAATCGAACCCGGGTTTTCGGCGTGACAAGCGAACGCTTTAACCACTAGGCTACCCGACCGCCCCTGTGTGGCTCAGTTAGCTCATTAACTATATTGTGAGTGAGTGAGTATGGTTTGCGCCGCTTAAGCAATTTTCCAGCAATATCACGGCGGGGGCTTCACACATCGTACTCATGTCGGGAATCGAATCCGGACTGTGGTCTCATGAATATATTTGATATTAAGGAAATTATGAAACGTTTTGTATCGTTGAATGACGTTAAATGTTTTTACTGAGTATCACACAGTAATATCAAATGAAATAGCTGTCGTATAAGTGGGCAGGGGTCTCATGAATATATTTGATATTAAGGGAATTATGAAACGTTTTGTATCGTTGAATGACGTTAAATGTTTTTAATGAGTATCACACAGAAATATCAAATGAAATGGCTGTCGTATAAGTGGGCAGGGGTCTCATGAATATATTTGATAGTAAGGGAATTATGACATATTTTGTATCATTGAAAGACGTTAACTGTTTTTACTGTGTTTTTATATCAAATGAAATGGCTGTCGTGTATTTTTGTTTATCTTATTTGTAATAAATTTGTTTTTTTAACAGAATGTCTTGATTCTATCTTTTTTATCAAAATAAACGCAAATAAAGTACGGCACGGGGTGTACCCCTATATGGAGCTGACCGTCAGGTTGTTTGAAACACTGAACTCGCACCCCGGTCAAGGGAAAAGAAATCTGTAGATTAAAGGGGAGTAACTCTTGCATACTTGCCTCAAGTATCTGATTTGACTCGGCCAATATCTTCACTAGGTGTATAGAATGGGCACAGTACCGCCATGCTGTAGTAAGGGTAAGATGCAGTGAGTGAGTGGGTGAGTAAGTTGGCCTTAATGCCGCCCTGAACAGGTTTCCAGTTATGTCGCGGCGTGTCAACTTAGGGAGGACAAAAGACGTTAGAAGATGGTACTTGTTGTTACCCTGTCTGGCGTTAAGGGGCTTAAACAAGGACAGGTCGGCTCAGAGTCAGTATACTGTGTCTGGGTGGGGTAATCATGTTAAACTGCAGTGTACGAACTATAAATCGGCATCAGTCAGACACACACACGCATGTGCATGCACGCTGCTATATAAGTGCAATAATTTTGAACGTGACGTTTTCCCCATTTCACCTCACCGCTGGTCAGAGTTACGTCCCTTAGGTACATGCCAGATTTCATGATCGTGAGTTCGAATCCAAGATTCGCTCGTAATATGTTTCTAAGTTTGGCAGCAACAAACCCATTTTTGAGGGGTAAACGTCTACGACCTGGGTCACTTCGGGATTACGGCGTTAAACGCACTCACTGACTCACCTACCCGTGCAATCTCATTAAAATCAGACCTTAGTTCTCGCTACCGCTAAACAAAGATCTGAGGACATCCCAGTTGAGGTCACGTCAGAACGACCTTTCATCCGACCAATCAGAGCGTCGCTTACCAGATCATGAAAGTGACAGTCGGAATGTGATTTCTAATCATGCATCATCGAAGACGAACGATAGTTACGGGTTTAACGACTGAATCCATACAATCTAGACCATCTAATAGCGATTCCAGAATGTTCTTTTGTTCAAGTTTCAAATTTTTAAATGAGAATTTGTCAAAATATGTTTCGACGCGTTGTCGCCAATTTGAAAACAGTGCCGTAAAAGCTTGAGAAAGCTGCCTTCTGATAGGTCATTCCATTGGTCGGTCAAAGTTCGCACAAGGTCGGTCTGACGTGACCCGTAATGGGATGTCCTCAGATCTTTGTTTAGCGGTAGCGAGAACTAAGATATGATTTTAATGAGATTGCTACCCGTGTAGATCCAGGGTAGAATAGGTCTTCAGCAACCCATTCTTGCCGTAAAAGGCGACTATGCTTGTCGTAAGAGGCGACTAACGAGATAGGGTGGTCAGGCTCGCTGACTTGGTTGAAGCATGTCATCGATCCCAATTGTATGGATAGATGCTCATGATATCAATCAGTGGATTGTCTGGTCCAGGCTCGATTATTTACAGACCGCCGTCATATAGCAGGAATATTGCTGAGTGCGGCGTTAAGCAACAAAGAAACAAAGAAACAAACAAAGAAACAAACAAACAAACAAACAAACCACCTGAATTGAGGAACACCTACTGCATTACCACATCACATTTCCGCTCTACCCTCGCATGAAGCGGCCTACAAATATACACAGACCTTCTCTCACTAAAGCCGCGGACAAGACTAAATGACTACAGTAACTATGTATGAGCGAATTCAGATTAGGTTTGGTTTGTTATGTGGCAAGAAAAGTTAGATATTATATTATCACTTTACACGCAGTGCAGAGTTGCGTCCCTTTGCGCGCAATTAACTTATGATCGTGGGTTCGAATCCTGGTTCGACCCGATTATGTTTCTAGGTTTGTCCTCACCATACCCATGCTCGTGGGTTTCACCAAAGTGTTACATGTAGGACCTGCATCCCTTCGGGCTTTCCTCCCACATGAAGCTGACACACCGTAATATAACTGGAATACTGTTCAAACCCAACTCACTCACTCATGATCTTTCTAAGATTTTCTATGTTTGTTGTTTAACGCCACACTCAGCAATATTCCAGCTGTATGACGGCGGTCTGTGAATAATCGAGTCTGAACCAGACAATCCAGTGGTTGACATCATGTGCATCGATCCACGCAATTGGGTGAGGTGAGGTGGGGTGAAATGGGGTTTAACGTCGCGTCCAAATTTATTGCACTTATATAGCGACGTGCATGCACGTGTATGTGTGTGTGGCTGCTTGTACTAGTCCGGACTGATGCCGATTTATAGTGCTAGCACAGTGAGATACCATGCCGCAGTTTAACATGAATATCCCACTCAGACACAGTTGTCTGACTCCGAGCCGACCAGTCCTTGTTTGAGCCCCTTAATGCCGAGCGCCAGACAGGGTAACAACAAGTACCATCTTTTAACGTCTTTTGGTATGACGCGGCTGGGGATCGAGCCCCGGACCTTCCGCTCTCCGGGCGGACGCTCTACCATTAGACCACGGAGGCGGTCCCACGCAATTGGGATACGATGACATGCAACAACCAAGCCAACGAGTCTGACCCCCCGAGCCCGTTAGTCGGGGGTGCGCAACAGGGCCCCAGGGAGACGTGTTTTGTTGCGTTTCATATCCAGGCTTAATTTCTTGTTATTCATGTTCTGGTAAAGGTTATCTAAAAATAACTGAAATTGAAAAAGACCTTTCACGTTCACTTTCTTTTCATTATTCATTTTACACATGAAATTTGTGTTTCTGACTATGGTCAAAATTTTGATACATTATTGATTTTTGATTTCACACGGCATGCATTACACTTATATACTTTTTTCTTTTCTTTGTTTGTTGTTTAACGCCGCACTCAGCAACATTCCAGCTATATGACGATGATGACGGCGGTCTGTAAATAATCGAGTCTGGACCAGACAATCCAGTGATTGATATATAAATCCTTTCAGGTAGAGGAAAATACCATGCCGTTATTTCACTAAAATAAACCCTGATAGTATTAAATGTCCCCAGATTTTGCCTTTTGCCTTAAGTTAAGGGGTACTCGTCAGTCTGTACATTGATACCAATACTTATAGCCCCTGCTTCATCAACATACATCAATTCAATATATTTTTTCAATGATGTGAAGGCTGCAAAGACGCCACCATGAAGAGGAACTGAGCTACACGTTAGAGGCCACTTAGATTTGACAACCTTTCTGACATTGAAAACATCCATGTATAACATGTATCGCCTCGCTTTAGTCGAAAATTGAGCTTCACGCTTAAACCAAAGGAAACCCGAGTATGTATATCGGCTAGAACTTTGCCAATTTATAGGTATCAAGGAATCTATCTCAACATATAGGAACCAGCCTAAAAGAATATATGTAAGGGGCGGATATCTGATTTTAAAAAGCAGGAGTTGGTGGGTGTTCACTTGGGCCATTTGTAACTTAATTTTGTGTGTGTGTGTGCGTGCGTGCGTGCGTGCGTGCGTGCGTGCGTGCGTGCGTGCGTGCGTGCGTGTGTGTGTCCACTTGGGCCATTTGTAACTTAATTTTGTGTGTGTGCGTGCGTTCGTGCGTCAGTGCGTGCGTGTGTGTGCGTGTGCGTGTGCGTGTGTGTGTGTGTGTGTGTGTGTGTGTGTGTGTGTGTGTAAACCATTATTAATAATTTTACTTTAACAACCAAATCAACATGCCATCATGGTGTAAACCACGCATACAAAGTGTCACCAGATGTTAAAAAAGGGGTGATGGCCACCCCCCTCTGGGTCCGCCACTGAATGAAATACAAAACTAGTGGCAACTTCGCTACATATAAACTGACGGGCAAGAGAAAGTACCGACTTGAAAACCGTCGAATGAGTGAGTGAGTGAGTATGGCTTTACGCCGCTTTTAGCAATATTCCAGCAATATCACGGCGGGGGACACCAGAAATGGGCTTCACACATTGTACCCATGTCGGGAATCGAACCCGGGACTTCGGCGTGACGAGCGAACGCTTTAACCACTAGGCTACCCGACCGCCCCTGAAAACCATCGAATCACCATTTCTTATTTGTTTTATTTTAGCCACCTTCAAACATGGGTGTTGCCTTTCTTATGCCCGACAGTTCAGTTACAACACGCGTTATTGCTCTCGCAGGTATGGTGTTTGAGATTTGATGTCTATCTTTAAAACTCTTCAATCGGCGCCGTTCTGGATAATTGCAAATTCTGCATCAGATAAGTGATGTTTTCTGTTTTGTATTTTTTATCTCATGAACTCGTTTTGGCGTGATTCATTCTGCTTAAACTACATACACGAAAACTGAATTCGGTTGAGACAGTTGATAAGATTGTCCAACTATTGACGCCCATGTTGGTATTTACATATATGAATGGACCCGGTCGGCTCAGAATATACACGCAACATCTTACTTGAGATATGTCGTGCAGTAGGTAATGCCAGTTTTGATAGTATCGGTCAGTGTTGTATTTGGTGACACATTATGGTTTGTAAATATGATTTTCTATATGTAACACGTATTCTGACGAGACTTATCATGCAAATTGACAATATACTTAATTACATTAAAACTCCATTATGACAAACTTCATTTGTATCTGTCAGAGGAACGAAATTCATTATTGTCACGACTGTGATAAACGTGAAGAAAAGCGTCTGATCACATGATCAGATATGGTTCATCCATATGTGTGCGAGATCAGATTAGATGAGATGTGACAATAAAAGATAAATATTTAATTAATGTGATCTTATTGATCTTCATGATAGTTCCAAGAAAATCATAGTGTCTATGCTGGGGTTTGAAAGTAGCTTCGGCATAAATTGTTATTTAGCTCGAGTTAATTAAGTTTATATTTCATTCGATCCAAAGTACCAATTTTATATTTTAAAATAAATATAATATTTCATTTCTAAATTCTAATATGGATACGTTTTTGACAGGACTTATCTCGCAGATTATACAAATTTCACTATTCGTGTGCAATATTCCTGCAGCTCCAGCCCTTGGTGTTTACATTTCACAACTTTTGAGATACAATCAAGA